CCAACAAGTGGTCTGCCTGTCTGCGTGTTGGCAATACCTTGTAGGCATCGTTTATTGTGTTTTGAGGAGTGGGTGTAGTTCCTTTGTAGGGCGGTAAAGGGTGCGCGTGGTTGGGAGGGATAGAAACTCTCTGGCCCAAGCGGGCATCAATAGCTTTTTTAATCTGAGTCGCGAAAGAACCAGCGCTGCTGCTACCAAAATACTCCCGAGTGGTAGTCCCCTCGTCCACAACGGCGGTCATGGAGTCAATAACAGAAGGACTGTGCGTGTGCACTGAAGCTGGTGCTCGGCTACCTGTCGAGAGCGCTCGAGGAGAACTGTCATCACCCGGATCAGAGGCTTGAGCCTGGCGAGCTAGAGAAGCTCTCCTCGGGGTATCGACTACAGGGGGGTGGGTTGCTCCAGCACGTCCGCCTCGATTTGAACCTGGAAACGCATTGGAGCTGGGTCTGCTGGGTGTGATAAAGGGCTCTTGAGATTCTGTTGCCGGTTCACTTTGTCGGGAACCTGCCGTGGGCTTGGGGCCGGATGAGGTGGTAGATTCACTGTATTTACATCTCCCTTGCAAGGCTAGCTTTCTCGCACAGTTGCCACAAGCTACAAGTCAAATTACATTAATCTCCATCACTATTGAAGCCGGTATGTAGCCAGAAGCTGAATGAACAGACTGCATAGGGCCCGACGAGAGAACTCACAGGGACGTACGCCATCGCACTTCACTTTTCTGGTGCGGCATGTATCGCATGCTACGTCGATCTTGATTCGCTTGGGACGTGGCTCACGGACTGCATCGTGCCCCGGGTCTGACATGGCTGCTCGGAAGAGATCTCTGGGGAAACCCACCAGAAGCCGGAAGGGCAGAATTCACGGTAGTAAGAGACATTTACACCAGTGTCCCGCCACTGATTAGCAATCAAAGAAACCAGTCGGACCTCGGTCGGGATTCAGAGCTAGACATAGCGGTTCCGAAAATGATACAATCCGATTGGTGACTATCAAAACTCCACACTCCATCCACGTCTCGGATCTTTCCCCGAAGCCTCCCACAGCTCAAGTTGCAAGTTCACTTCTTCCATGTGATCCGGAGACACTGGACTAACCAATTCTGAGAAAAGTAATATCTACCATTTGGAGACTATCTATTTCCGCATTTCCTCCCATTGTGATGCGCCTTCCGAAGGGCTCATCCATGTTGGCCTGTATTTGACGAATAAATCGCTGTTTGGTTTGAGTTCAAGGCTGTTCAGTAGACATTAGCTGCCATACATCGATCTCGTGGGACAATAAAGGAGAACATAATACCCGGAATCTAGCATTGCAGTCCTGATGATGATAAACTTGCCCTTGGCCTGACCAGGGACTGTCCAAACGGGTGAACCGCATGTCTTACAGAAGGCCTTCTCCTTGGGAGAGCCGCTTGAAGTGTCATCCAGAGTATAGAAAGAGAGGTTTTCCTGCCCAGTGACTTGAACCTCATTTGCCGGGAACTTAGCAATCTGCAGCCATCGTCAGAATGTTATTTAGTGTTCACTTTGTCACTTTGGGGTACCGCTCGGTGCTTCTCTCAACTTACGACTTGGTTGGCGCCGCCTGCCCCCTTGCTGCAATGCGTACAAAAGCAGGAAAGTACAACGGCTGGCTCTGCAGTAATGTTCAAGCTAACACCTCCACAAAGGCAGCGTCCAGAATAAGGAGCCGGCATTCTGAGCTATGGATAAGGGGGTGTAAGTGGATCTGGGGCAGTCAGGTGTTAAGTGTTTAGTAAAACCTCCTCGAGCGGCCCTGTAGAATTTCCAGACTATTTGTACAATGTATCAAGCTCCAGCTAGTTGCACCAGCCGGATTGCTCTACAACAGGAATCCGAGATGGAAATGATAGCGCAACCGTGGTGGGTACTGGTGGATCTCGTCTCGGAAACATCGTTTCCTTTCGCGGAGTGTTCCCCGATGGCCAAGATCCGCCTTCGGGCTGAGGCACATTTGCCATTAATCCTTGCATCCCAAGTGCTGGGGAACCCGACTGGATGAGGCATATGTCACATTACTTCTAGGATAGCACAAACCACTACTTGCGTTGGTATTGAGTGCTGTAGTTCTACAGTTTGATTAAAATGGCTTCTATCGTGGACGTAGATGCTGTCCTTGAGACCTTGACCATCGAAGAAAAGGTAATGTGGAAATTTGCCGATGAGCATGTGGCCTTTACCGCGTCTAACAGAAGATTATGCATAGATATCTCTTTTAGCCGGAGCAAACTTCTCCAGTACCGCAGATGTGGCATCCAAGGGCGTCCCCTTCGTCAAGGTGTGTTATCAAGCCTATATACTGTGTTTTCTTGCATTGACTCACTGAGGGATCTTAGGCCGTAGATGGTCCCAATGGCGTACGGTCGGCCGCCATTGATGCCGATGTCCGTTCAGCATGCTTTCCGGCTGCTTGCTGTATCGCATCAACCTTCGATGCTGACATTGCGCGGCATATGGGTGAGGCACTTGCCGAGGAAGCAATTCTCAAGGGCGCACACTGCGTCCTCGGACCGACTGTCTGCATCCACCGCCATCCCCTGGGCGGACGCAATTTTGAGAGTTTTAGCGAGGATCCCTTCCTTGCCGGCAAGCTGTCCTCCCAGATCATTTCTGGGCTTCAAAGTCAAGGCGTCTCCGCTACGATCAAGCATTTCGTGGCTAACGAGCAAGAGACGGCCAGAACGACAGTAAATGAAACAATCAGCCAGCGTGCGTTGAGAGAGATCTATCTCAAACCGTTTGAGATTGCTGTAAGAGAGGCAAATCCCTGGGCTATAATGACCGCTTACAACCTGGTCAACGGCGAACACTGCGACTCGCATCAGCAACTTCTCCAGAATGTTCTGAGGGGTGAATGGGGTTGGGACGGTCTAGTCATGAGCGACTGGGGCGGTACCAACTCGGTTTCCAATGCTCTGATTGCTGGCCTTGACCTTGAGATGCCCGGGCCTCCTCGGATTCGGAAAATACCGGCCGTGCTCAAAGCCCTCGAAAATGGAGAGATTTCCGAGGATACTATTAATTCGCGAGCCAAATCTGTCCTGAAATGGGTATACAAACTGAAGGCTCTCGAGAAACACGGCTCCAAGGATGTTGTGGCCAATAAGCCTGAACACAGGACGTTCATTCGGGATGCTGCTGCGAAAGGCATGGTTCTGTTGAAGAACAAAAACAACATTCTCCCTCTGACGAAGGACAAGGTGCGAGACAAGAAGATCGCCCTGATCGGTTTTGCCAAAGATGCCATGGCACACGGAGGCGGCAGCGCAAGTGTGAATTCATACTACAAGGTGACGCCGTGGGAAGCTCTGCATGCTGCGCTCGGAGACTCGGTAGACTTCACCTTCTCCAAGGGTGCCCATAAAGAGCGTCTTTTACCACCACTCACCAAAGATGACCAAAGCTGTGGAACTGTTGTTGGTCTTGATGGAAGCGCTGGATTCTCTCGACTGCTCTTTGAGAGCGGCAAAGCTGAGCCCGTGTCCACCAGCCACGGCTACCCCAGGTCAGCCTATTCTCCCCTTGGATCACAGGAATCTCTGAACAGAGCATTGGAAATCGTCGGTGATTTTGTTCCCTCTGAGACGGGTGTGCACTATATCGCTTGCTCTGGACTTGGACCGACCAAGGTCAGCATTGACGGGGAAGTGATCTTTGAGCAGACTGGCAACTGTTCTGATCCAATGGGTTCACTGTTCTTGGCAGCGCCCGAGCCCGAGATCAAGCACTCTTTCGAGAAGGGTCGCAAGTACCGTCTGCGCATTCAAAGCGACCCGCCTGCAAATATCGGACTCGAGATTCTTGAAGGGCGCAGTGGCGTACGTCTTGGATTCTCACTTGAGTCAGACCATGACGCAGACCTGGAAGGCGATGCGGTGCAGGTGGCCAAGGATGCCGACTATGCAATCGTCTTCACAGGCCACGATCCGCAGTGGGAAACAGAGGGCCGGGACCAGGATTCCTTTGATCTTCCCCGACAGCAGAATTCTCTCGTCTCTGCAGTGGCTGCTGCGAACAGCAACACGATTGTGGTGAACTCGACCGGTGTTGCAATCTCCATGCCGTGGCTTGATAGTGTCCAGGGACTGGTTCAGGCCTGGTTTGGTGGCCAAGAGTGCGGTAATGCCATTGCAGACGTCTTGACTGGCGCAGCCAACCCCGAAGGTCGGCTTCCTGTAAGCTTTCCGAGGAAGATCGAGGACGCTCCCGCACACGGAAATTTCCCAGGTACCACAGTTGATGGTAGACTGGAGGTTACGTATGCTGAAGGAGTCTTCGTTGGATATCGCTATTACGACCGTGTGGAATCAAGCAAATTAAACTTCGCGTTCGGTTATGGGCTGTCTTATACATCATTCAGCTATGGGAAGATGCAAGTTGAGGCAGCTAAGGAAAGTGTCGATGGCTTTTCCATCAACTTGACTGTCAAGAATACTGGAGAGGTGGCTGGAGGAAGTCTTGTACAAGTGTACGTTGGACGAGCATCTCAAACTTCAGATCACCCAATCAAGTCCTTGGTCGCTTTTCAAAAAGTACGACTGAGCCCCGGGGAAGAGAGAAGTGTCAGTCTCTCGGTTCATGCCAAGGACTTCGCCTACTTCGACGAAAAGAGTAGCAAGTGGGTTGTGGATGTAGGAGAGTATTCGTTCTTCTTGTGCTCATCTGCTGCGGACATTCTGCAAACCGTACCCGTGGCTGTGAAAGGACAAACATTTGCCCTTTGAAGAATAGTAAACATTGAAATATTGCAATACAATTATTAGAGTTAGATTTGAGTTGGATTTGATGAACTTCATTTTTGTGATGTCGGAAGAGAGTTCGAGTATAGAGTTAAAAAGAGCCATGAAGGATGCCAGACCGGACATCTCAACACAATAAATTTTAATTTTTTTCGGTGTGATGTGTTTTAACCACTCTGGCTAATGATATATTCTACCAGTGGTTACTTGTTCTACTCGTCTAAGTTGCTCTATTCTAGTTTCCAGAGGCTATTTCAGCCTTGTACCTATCTTCTCCAGCCTTCAAGATCATTCGGAATAGTTCTATATCTTGGCGAGCGTCTTGCGCACTGGTCTTGGGTGTTTTGTTGTTGATGACACAGTCGTAAAGCTCCAACATCTCCAGCGTGTAAGGATCTTCGTACGTCCTCCGAATCGTGCGCTCCTGGAAACCCGACTCTCCATCCTTTTCCCGGATGGTCATGGTTACAGGCAGGCCCTTCACGTACGGAGAGTCGTAATTGATGCGAACAATCTTGTCCGCGGAGTATACTTCAATGTGGGCATCGAATTGAGGAACATTGTTGAGCCCTGATTCATATGACACTGGGAAATCATTGTACTGGAAAAGGACACTGAAAATCCCCGGCAGGGTCAAGATAGCGCCGGCTACACCCTGAGGCATTCCAAGAATCTCACGCATGGCAGAAAGGTCGTGGGTACCCAGGCTAGAAGAAGAGAGAAAACGTTAGCATATTTGATACTGGCCATAAGTTTTCCCTGGGGTTTAGTAACTTACGCTCCGAGTACACGTAACATCCTCATAGACTTTGGTGTGACGGGAACATCAAATTCATGCTTCAGAGCCTGCTCGTAGATGTCATTCTCGCGGCGGACACGATCCTGACCATCAGCTTCAGAGAAATCGGTGAATTTCTGCGGGAACATGCCAGACTGCTCGACAAAGACCGAGTTGGGACCAATGATGTCCCTGACTCGGGCGAACTTGATCTGATCCATGCCTCCCACCTCTTTCACGGCTTCGAGGAACGCTGTGGCGTATCGACGCATTGTTCCCACAAAAACTTTGCCCTTGGAGTTCTTCTCGACCTCAATGAGCCTATCCAAGTCGCGGAAGCAGAGAGCAGCAGGCTTCTCAATCAGACAATACTTGTCATATTGCAGGGCAAGAATGCCATGCTCGACATGGTATGCATCGGCATTGGCGATGAGGACAACGTCCACCTCCGGAGAAGAGCATAGCTCCACTGGGTCCGTGGTTGTATGAGGAGTACCGCCCTGGACCTTTCCAGCACAGTAGGCGAGAGACTGCTTTGAGATATCGCAGAGATATGTGGTGCGGAAGCGGTGAGCCAAAGCATTGATATTCGGGATGTGTGCAACTTGGGAGATTTCACCACAACCGATGATACCAACACGCAAGATGCGGCTCCCGTCAGTGGGCAATGTTTGATTGTTGGCGGCCATGATGTGATCTGATTATTCAATTTCTCGGAAAGGTGAATCTGCTTTCTTCCGGGTATCAAAAACCGAGTTCGAGACTCACAGTTAAAGAAACCTTGTCATGGAGAAGGGACGGATAAAACCCCATGATCTCGGTACATTGCTGGGGAGCTTGGAACTATTAACTGACTAGTGTCAGCTAATGACAGATCCATAATCCGCGACTCCCCGTCACAGATATCCCCATCTAGAACCTTGACTAACTGGTGGTGGTCTCCACATACCGACAGACCCCGATGCCAATCTCGAACCGACACTCCCCGGACTCCTCTCCGCCACGTGATCGATGGAATGTTACTTCCGCGAGTCGTATCCCGAGCCTCTCCACAACTCCCCACGGGGTTCCAAAGTTTGCTTTTCTTGCATGAGCGTGAATGTTGGGTGGGTGAGGCATACCTTCATCGAGAGTGTATATAGCCTGCAACATCCCGTCACCCATGGCTCTATCCCACTACTGATCACACAGAAAGAATAAACTGGACAACAAAGACAAGCTCTAGGAAGGTTTGTTTTATCTTAACCCAGAAGAATATGGGTATCTTTTCTGGAAAAAAGGAGGCCGAGCTGGCCGTCGGCAAAGATCTGGCCCAGGTATGTAGATCTTTCTTGCGACTTATCGTTCATATCGGAGTCGCCGTTTACTGACAGTCTGTTCAATCCAGGTACTGCCTGAAAATCCCAAGCCATGGTACTTGACATGGCATATCGTCAAACTGAACCTATGCCTCCTTGTTCCCTTGATATCTTCGGCGTCGGTCGGATACGATGGTATGCTTCCCGCGAACGATACAAACCAAGAATAAAACCCCGATGTTGACATCAGCCAATGCTAGGATCTATGATGAACGGGCTACAAACTCTACCTCAATGGCGACAATACTTTGGGAATCCAGAGGGAGCATTGCTTGGCTTGATGAACTCCGTATATCCTTTGGGCAAGGTGGTTTCCATGTTCGTGGTCTCGTATCTATGCGATCGATATGGGCGAAAGCTCCCAATCATCATCGGACTTGTCACCTGCATTTCCTTCGCTATTCTTCAGGGCCTGTCAAACAACCTTCACAGTTTCATCATTGCGCGCGCTTTTCTGGGCTTCTTTACAAGTTTTCTTTCCCAGCCAAGTCCCATCATCGTGGCTGAGCTGGCATACCCGACACAGCGAGGAAAGATCACCGCACTGTACAACACCTTCTTCGTAAGTAACCTACAACTATGGGCTCCTGTTGATCAAAGAGAAATGCTGACGGCTCACCCGCCCGCAGTACTTCGGTGCCATCTTTGCCGCATGGTGTACATTTGGAACATTCAAAATTGAATCAACATGGAGTTGGAGAATCCCCTCGCTTTTGCAGGGAGCTATCCCATTCTGCCAGCTTCTAGGAGTGTTCTTCCTCCCGGAGTCTCCAAGGTTCGTTTACATATTGCCAGTTGTTATTTCAGGCCCTAATAGTCACTAGATGGCTTGTTTCACGCGGTCGCAAAGAAGAAGCTCGAAAGATTCTCACCGAATACCACGGCAGCGGCGACGTCAACTCTCCATTGGTCGACTTCGAAATGCGAGAAATTGAAAAGGTCATTGAAGAAGAGGCTGAAACTCTGTCCGGGGTTTCGTGGCTCGAGCTCGTCCGGACACCTGCCAACAGGAAACGAACCCTCATTGCTGTTATCGTTGGATGGTTTGCCCAGTGGAATGGAGTTGGAGTTGTATCCTATTACTTGACCCTTGTGCTCAACACAATTGGTATCACAAGCGTCAAGGACCAGACTCTCATCAACGGCTTGTTGCAAATCTTCAACTGGCTCGTGGCTACGTTCCTCGGAGCACTTATGGTGGATCGTCTTGGTCGCCGTTTCTTGTTCCTTCTCTCTACCGCCGGCATGTTGGTGGCCTATGTCATCTGGACTGGTCTCACGGCGCACTTTGTTCAGTCTCACAGCGAGGCTACAGGGCGCGCGGTCGTCGCCTTCATCTTCATCTACTACCTCTTTTACGATATTGCCTGGAGCCCGCTGCTCCAAGCCTACTCAGTTGAAATCTTCCCCTACACGTTGCGAGCACGCGGCCTGTCCGCGACATATGTTGCTTCTTTTGTTGGCCTAATTGTGGGCAATCAGGTTAATCCTATCGCGATGAAGGCAATTGCGTGGAAGTACTACATTGTTTTCTGCTGCATCCTTGCGGTTTTGATTATCGTCATCTACTTCTTATTCCCGGAGACAAAGGGGCACACTCTTGAGGAAATCAGAGAGATCTTTGAGGGCAAGTCCGAGGATGATGACAAGCTGGGCAGGATTGAATCCGCAGTTGATGGGGACACGGCTGGACAAAAGAAAGGGACCGTCAAGCAGGTTGAGATCGCGCCATGAGGTAGCAGAAGGATGAAGTGTGTGGTTCGCGGAATATCTCTAATTTCACGGCAAGATCAAGATAGCCAACGTCACGACTCACAATGTATCAGAGATTCAGGGGTGAATTAATCGGGGAGCTCAAGTAGCAACCCAACAAAATAGCACCCAACAAGCAGTTCCAATATAAGACAAACTACTTTGTAAATTACCTCTCCATGAATCACCACTTGACTCCTTGAAGCTTCCCTCCTGGGCGAGCCAAAGTTCCTCCCTATGACAGACGAGGCGTGCAGTAGTAGCGTTCTGTCTAATTTAAAGGGGCGGACTCCACGCAATCGCGTTTCTCAATTGCAGGCCAGGTTTGTCCGGAGAGTTGTGGTCTTCCATCATGAGATGAGACATTTAGCTGTCCATTGATGTTTGGTTGGACGCGCTGAAAGCGAGAAATACGCGTGAAACTCCAGGGCTCAATCAACACGCTCACATGACCTCGTGATGTGATGAATCACTTCCCGAAATCACAACAAACCCCAGATATTGAGCGCGTCCTGAATTCAACAGATCTATACATTTACCACCTCATTTCCGTTTTGATTATGTCACTATGATGTACAGCGGCTCGATGTGCTACTGTTTCTTGTGTAGTGGGCCGCTTTCCGAGCTGTTCGTCGGCTCGGCCTCCCCACGAGCTTTGAGGAAGCGTCGCCAAAGCGTTGAGAAGAAGAGGTTGGCACCAAGGGCAAGGGCATACGACTCGGTTTTATATGAATTTGAAGACGAGGGTGGAGACGAGGACGAGGAGACCGAGGATGACGAGGAGAACGAGGATGACGAGGAGAACGAGGATGACGAGGAGAACGAGGATGACGAGGAGAACGAGGATGACGAGGACGATGAGGAGATTGATGTGTGTAAAGAGGCAAATTCGTATGACCCCGAACTAGCCACCAAGGAACGGACGGATTTGATCCAGTATCTGCAGGTTCTTGGGTTCAATCCAAAAGCAGCGGGGGGTTCCAAATGCGAATTTCCACCACGCTAATGTAAAATCTTGAAGGCTGATGTGAGTTAGGGCTTGGATCTCTGGAAACGCGAGGTACCGTGGCGTGGTATGTCTGCACGATCTCCGTGCCTCACTGGATTCTAACAACTGAGCAGGGGGTGATTGAAGTGTTTGATTGATCCGGTTTGTCTTTTTCACGGAAAAAGGAATCTCTGCCAGGGAGACTAACATCAATATAGATCCAAACCAACCCTCTTCGGATGGCAGCAGGTTATATGACTGATAATGTGCTACTTAACTAATAATACTTCGACGCTGACGGTTTCAGTTATTTTTCTGGAAATGGACACGAAGTGGTTTTCCCCTTCCACTCTAGCTGTATGGCTGTGTTGAGAAAGGTGTATGAATGGAGCCTTGACAGCGGCTTCTACAAGAGTAGCCTACCACTTTCCCCTCGACGACCGATTTAAAATATACTAACAAAAAAAATTGCCTTGTCCAGCAGTGAAAGGTCTGGACTCTCCCAAAATCGACATGGATTCACTATATGACGCAACCACGGTTCTATGTGACCACGACGGCGTCCGTCTAAGATTAAACTATGGTGATATCTCTGGCGTATACCGAGACTGGAACTGTTGCCCCGGCGAGGAAGTAAGCCTACGTATGTTGAGTATTCAGCAGACTGCTAACTGCTATAGTACTCCGTCAGTGATCCCTTACACGCCGCTGTTGAGACGATCGAGCTGCCCCCGTATCTACATCTTCTCAATTGCTCTATTCTCGGCCACATTCTTCAGTTGACCCGTTTGGAGCAGTGCCAAACGAAATAATACATTTCGTTTGCAATTGCCTTCCTGGAGAAGACCTTAGCAACTTCTTGATAGCTTCATTTGTGGCACACTCTGCTACTCGGGAGCCTACGTTCTGGAAGTCTCTTGGGAGTTCTCATATGCCCTGGGCATGGGAACTTTGGGGGGGGGAAGTCCAGGCACGACTCGCAATCAGGGCTCCCCATTGATTACAAGAAACTCTATTTCTTGGCTGATGCTCGTACCAGTCTTCCCTCTGGAATCACAACAGACCAGAGCGATTGGCTGGGATTAGCAAATCGACGACGAATATGGACTAGTTGTCAGCTTCTCCTGCCTCACTACTTCTATGCTGTTCAAAGGAGGATATCGGATAATGGAACTTCCTCTGATATCACAGGCGCGGCCATCGAAGGAAAACTTTTCCAGGTATCATACCCACCAGCATCAGGCACAGCGTTTCAAACCTTCATTCTTCACTCATGGGAGGAGTTTCGCATCACTCCTTCTGTTTTCGAGGCGTACTGGGACTCGAATCAGAACTTGGTTGGCCTTTGCACATCCTCTGGGATAAGCAAACGGATTCTTGGAAGAGATGCTGATTCGGAAATGGGCGTGTGTCATGAGATCACAAAGTCTGCAGGCCGAATCAATACTGGTGAATGGATCCAGAAGTTGTCACTCGGCCTCGAGATTTTGCAACCTTTACATGGCACTGCCGTGAAAAGAGTAATGATAGGTGTGTTCAAGTCTTTCAGAGAGGCTTATGCTGACAGAGTTAAGGGCACCCTCACGTCCGGAAGAAAAATCATGGCGATAGACGGCCCAAGGCTCTGCACGATCCCAGGAAATGAGGGCATCTTGCAGTTGCAATGCAAGTTCCATAGGGAATTCGGGGAACGGGACAGGGGACTGGGCAGAAACAGTGGCGATGTCTATGAAGAGCTTGTCGAGTCAGAAGACACTCCTGTCCATCATTTCGACATCGATGGGCCAGGCCCCGAATCCGTTATCGGTGTAAAGGCACAAAGAACCAATAACAAAATTACAGCTCTCACAGTAAGTTGTAACCACATGTTTTCGACAATTCGGCGGCTGACTAGGCAGTTTTGCACGAACATCGGACGCCAAGCGACTTTCGGCCAGGAGACGGAGGATGAGTGGTTTACTTTCGAGGAAACCGGGAACGGAGTCCTGGTTGGTCTTGCTGCGGGATTCTCCTTGGCTGCAGATTCTCACGAAAAGGTCGACACTCTACTTGCTCATCAATTTGGCAACGCTTTGGCTCACCTTTACCTACAGCACTTCTCTTTGATGAACTCTATCATGGTTCTGACGACTAAATGGTTAGGCTAGCGAGGTTTGCTCAGAACCCCAAATCCTCAATGAGACAGCCAACATATTATCAATCTTCTGGGCATCACTCATATTTATCATCTCTTATAAAAGACTGCAATTTCCATAGGACTAATGAGAAAATCCAAAATCCAAAATCAGTTTTCTCAATAGTCCAACGTCAAGCTAGGCTTCGGTCGTTCTAGGCAAGAAAGTATATGGGGGTAAAGTCAAGATCTACTCATTTAACAAAAGGCAGCCGGGAGATGAGGCGATTGATCCAGATCCCGTTCCGAAATCTCTGACATACAATTGGTTGGGAGAGATCCACGCAAAGGACCGGGTCTAGTTCACTCCGCAGAGGGATGGTGGAGTTGGCAGGGTGGGTAAGACGAGATCGATCTCGGGGTATCTCGGCAAGGTGTCCATCGATCTTCACTGAGAAAAGTGAGCTAAAGGTAAGTAGTTATGGCCAGCATGACCTGCAGACTTACTGTTCAAGTGCGTAGACTTGCCTTCACATTCAATCACCACCCGCCTTGTCGTTCTTACAGCACTCCCAGTTTGACAAGAGGAAAGGTCATCTATTCCTGCTTGTCATTTTCCTACAATGTCTCAAGAAAAACCCACCCTCCGCTGGGGAATCATCGGTACGGGCCTAATTTCTTCATGGTTTAGTCGGGACATCTCTCTGGCGCGTGATAACGCCCAGGCAATCCACCACATTCAAGCAATTGGCTCTTCATCCGTTGAAAAGGGCACCAAGTTTGTTGAGAGCCATCTGCAAAACCAGAAGCAACATCCGACAGTATACGGTAGCTATGAAGAGGTCTACCGCGACCCAAAGGTGGACATAGTCTACCTTGGCATCCCGCATGCTTTTCATAAACAAGCTTGTCTTGAAGCCATTTCCTACGGCAAGCATGTACTCTGTGAAAAGGCTTTCACGCTCAACGCTCGAGAGGCCAGGGAGGTCTTCGACGCCGCCAAGCAAAAGGGGGTTTTTGTAATGGAGGCGATGTGGACTCGCTTCTTCCCGCTTGTCAAGACTTTGAAACAGTTGGTTCATAATGAGAAAGTTGTCGGCGATGTTGTGCGTGTGTTTTGCGACTTCGCCATGAACCAGAACTTGGACTCTCTCGGCCCTGAATCGCGGCTGAAGAATCCCGCGCTTGGTGCTGGAAGTCTGTTGGACATTGGCATTTACAGCTTAACATGGGGCTTACTGACTCTTGATTCAGAAATTGGAGATCAAGCGCAGAAACCCAAAGTCTTAGCAACACAAACCCTGAAAGATGGAGTCGATGTTGGAACATCCATCCTTCTCACTTATCCAAGCGGAAAACAAGGCATCTTGACATCCAACAACGTGTCCGTTAAGACTCCTGCGCAATTCTGTAGGATTGAGGGTACTTCTGGCCATATTGTGGTCCAGGGGTTTGTAGCTTCAGTGCCTGCATCGTTTACTGTTTTCACCGAACAACTGCCTGAGGGTAAACAGTATGAGTTTGAGCGTCCTGGGAGGGGCTTCTACTGGGAGGCTGATTCGGTAGCTCTTGATATTACGGCAGGAAAGACAGAGAGCGATGTGATGCCGTGGGCGGAGACAGTCCGGGTAATGGAGATGCTCGATGAAATTAGGTCGCAGGGAGGAGCTAGATTCCCTCAGGATCAGGAAAGTTGAAGTAATTCAATTTCGTGCAGAAAATAATAAACTCAAGCAAACAATCTTCTGGAGATTAATATACCCATTTCAGCTTACTACCACTGGTACGAAACTTGATAATCATCGCCACGCATAAGCGTGTATTCTAACCATAAAGGTTTATTTTTTGGTCGATTCTTAAACAAACATCTTTACACGTTACCATTAATTTTTTCAGATTAAAAGAAAGGTATCTTGACACGAGTTTCCAGAGCTCAACATGACATAACAGGAGTATACTCTTGACGTTGTTTGTTATGTCTACAAACAACAACTAGGTCTCAAAGATTTAGGTGCATGCATAGAATTTGTACTCAATCAGACCAGGAGACTTTTTCTCTTCTAAGGATTCAACCAGAGGTCTAACAACGAAGAGGAGGTTGCCAGTTCTTGGTCTATAGGGTAGGTCACAGAAAAGGGGCACAGATCTCCTCTTGCCTCGGATTTTCCAATGGCACTCACCTCACCTCAGCTCGACTCTAACTTGGCCCCGGCCTTCATTAACTCTCCGAGAATGAAGCTTGAACAGATCTTGCTTTTTCTTCCATGTCGCATGATCTTGATCCGTCTCCAGCTAACTGAACTTGTGGGGTGGCCGGAACGTTCCGCGCTGCCCCGGAGACTCCGGATCTGGTAAGATGCCAATTCATAGCCGAGACTCCCCGACACGATATTCCCCATCATTACCCCGTCACAACCCAGTTTCCTGCCCATTGCAGAGCCATCGGCTTCTAGACTCATTTGAGTTTTCCCTTGCTTCGGCCACGTGGTTCCGCGCATATTGGGGAAGCGGGGTGCATCTACCTTTGATGTCCCCGACAAGCCCTTCCGCTACTCCCCGCCTGTTCTTCCCCGACATCCTGTTCCGAGCGCAAGCAACATTGAGCGTCTTGAGCGTTCCAGGCATTACTTATGATGTCTGATTCAAAGTCCCCGGGAGACAGTGTCTCGAAGGCCGGGGGGCGGACTGGGGGCGATGCCGACCATGCGAACAAGAGACAACGAACGGCAGCAATGTATCAGCGAAAACGTGCTGTGACAGCATGTCAGCCTTGTCGACTTCGCAAAACACGTTGCGATAACGTGCGACCAATATGCGGTTTCTGTTCCAAAAATGGCGCCCAGTGCACATATCCCGAAGCTAATAACGGCGACTATTCAACGTTTGTGCTCACTTGAACTGCAAGGCAATTAAGAATAGCTTGCTGATAATCTGTGAACATTGTGTTAGGTTCGACCCGGCAAGTTTAGCTATCCTAGATCGCATCAATCATGTAGTTTCACTACTTGAAACACAGAGCCAAGAAGCAGTTATGAATGATGGACCATCTGCTTCTGGATCCGCGCACGCACCACAACACTCCAGCATCCCAACGCCAGCTGATTCCACTAGGTCAACCTCGAACCTATCTGACGAAGATATCTTGTTAGCATTTGATGTCCCGGATTTCCCATCTAGCATCAATAACTGTGAGAGCATTCTCCGCTGGCAGGTATTTGAAGGCCTGGTGCCGGATATTCATTCCTTCGTTCTGGACCTGGACGAAACTGGCGCTGGCCGCGGTGATCGTGTTGTCGAGGCTCGGGGATCTCTTGGCCGTGGCGTCCAAGAGGATGACTTCATATCGCTATCGAAAAGATTCTTGGCCTACGTGCATGTCAAGAATCCTATCCTCGACGTATCAGACTATAAGAATCAAGTTCGGATTGCAGCGGAGAATGGACCCAGGTGGGATGGCCAATCATGCCTTGTAGTAGGTTCTTCTTTCTCATGAAGCTATGGTGCGAGCTTTCCCTAACGTAATAATCCTAGTTGACTTCATGTGCACTGGCATGTCTCTCAGCGCCCTTTCAGTCAGATATTACGTTCGGCAACACACCTGAATCGATGCGGTCTTCGACATCTGCAGCCGTGGATCCAGATACTGCAGCGATGTATTATCTGGCTGCAAAGAAGCGACTTGGCATACAGAAGCCATCTCTGCTCTACATTCAATGTCTATTCCTGTGTGGTGTGTACGAAATGTATACCTTGTCTCCTCTCGAAGCTTGGTTCTATTTCAACAGAGCTTGTGTCGATTTGCGTAATCTACTCTGGGCACGCAACCGAAGGAGGTCACCAGATCCGGTCTCACAAGAAGCTCGTCGTTTAGAGCAGAGACTATATTGGTCTTGTGTAAAGACTGAGTAGTAAGTTGGAATTGATAGAAGGATATAATGGAGGTTCAAACTAACAGGATGCTGAAGTGAGCTGAGATGTGAAATACCACTACCGCCAAGCGGGATCACCAACTGTGAATACCCAGACATGTTCCCATCTCCCCCAACGAGATTAGGATCCCCGACCATCCACGGACAAGCCCTCGAGGAGCTCGAGTCAGATATTGTTCCCGAGGAAGAAAAGAGCTGGTTTTACTACCTGGCAGAGATTTCCTATCGTCGCATTTTGAATCGTGCCATGGCGGTAATGGGTCACGAAGGAGAAGAGGGCTGGATCCGGAATATCTCCAGCCGGATGAAACAGTGCAAGACTTTTAATGATCAAATAGATCTCTGGTAAGGATCGCTACCCCAGAGCAACAGTGCTAGAATGAGAAAAGGCTAATCACATGTAGGTATTCTCACGTGCCGCCTCAGCTCAACCCCCAACATGAAGGTCACGAGAATAGTGAACTGGGGCAGTTTCTAGCTAATCGTGCGATAAGCTGCCGCGAATGGATCCATCGGCCGTTCCTCTACTACATTATTCACAGGCCACCTTCCGATCCAATTTATGACCAAGTGATGCCGCTGGCACAGAAGTGCTTGGAGCTTTGCGTTCAACAAATGATACGCACGTTTGGTAATCATCGACACCACGGCACTTGGTATGTTTCTCGAGGGTGTATAACCCGGGCCCTGCTCCTTCTGGCCGCCGCAAGAAGTGGAAAGATATCGCTCCCGGAAGATTGGAAGGAGGCTTTGGAGATAGCTAGAGGGACGGTGCGCAGATGGTGCGGCGAGGCAACTGATCTTCGCTGGGCTGAAGCTACATTCGATGATATTGTGAGAGTCGTAATGGAATGAATATTCTCTACTATGAGGCTTTGCTGAGCATTGTATGAGTAGATTCAGTCAAGCTAAGTAAAGAAAGAAAAGACAAATTTGACATGAAAATCTATCTAAGTAATCTAATTGAAATGTGCAATCTTGTTTTCAAACATCAATTTAAAGCCATGAATCGTGTATCGCTTTTCTCCAATTCTTATCAGCAGCCTGACCTGCGGGCTCTTTCACGCCGTATGTTATAAACTTGGATTGGTAGAGAGCGGCGAAATTTAAAACCCCTCATCCTTGAGAGTATTATCGCCGTCTGCTGAGAGACCATCATTAACGTCTTCGCCTTTGCAGCCGAGCGAAGCGACGCGGTACATTAGGCCGAGACACGCCAGCAGACTCCAAGTAGAGATAAAGACTGAAGGAAGTTGCAAGAAAACGGTCCAGTATGCGCCGAAATCAACAGAATAAAGGCTGAGTGTGTATAGAATGGTGTAGATGGACTGGTACGTGAGACGAAACAATGTAATGATGTAGATGGCTACCATGTATTTGAAAATCTAATGAGGCGTTAGTACGGGACTTTGCATGGCTCGTATTCAGTCTTACACGGGAGCTGACTGCAGCTCTTGCCCTGACAAGGAACACGAAAGCAGTAATGCCGAAAAGCAGGAGAATCAGAATCGTGACAGCGTCAATGGCATTGCACGCAAGACCCAGCTTTTCGATCTCCGTAAAGAGCAAAGCCTCGGCGAGAAAAATCCTCAAGAAGTTGAGAGAAACAACCAATCCGAGGATCGCGAAGGCCAACTTGCGAGGGAACCATTGTGCTGAGCGTGTCTTGAAATCTCGCACGATCTCAACTTCCGTGACCATGGCCACAACAAAAGCAGTCGCGCCGAAAAGAGCACATACTACGTTGGCATGGAAGCTGGGGTTGGCCTTGTGGTAGGTCCCGGCCGAGACACTAGTGTCAGGGACCGTCTGTGCCATGATCTCGAGGGCCATCCATCTACGGCACATCTATTTTAGTGACCCGGACCTCCGGTAGTGTCAGGCGGTACTTACGTTGTTGTCAGGGTCAAGGAAGCTTTGACCCATGAGAGGCTCAAAGGCCCGTTTGACCCACGGCGGTGGAGTTTGACGAATCCAAAGATAGTCAAGCCAAGGCTGACTAGAAATCCTAAGCAAGTAAACACGAGCCCGGCAATGGCGATGTCGAGGAGCGTTCTGCGGTTCATGGTGATATTTGAGCGGAATGGACTGGTGGTAAACAATGAGAATAGCTGCTTTCTTGCTGGCTCAACTCTCTGTACCAGACCAGGAATGGGAAGTTGATGCGACCGTTATATAGAAAAAAAGCCTGACCCTTACCTTCCGTGCCCCTGATTATCGATGATTAGAGTGAGGTAACTATCGCCGACCTCAAAGACAAGGGATGGAATAAGCTCACGAACCGAAAATCTCATTTGTGGCGGTAGTGAGCCTCGATGTAACCAACCTTTGCCCTTAAAGAGTGGTAGACTTCCCCTTATTGGCCGTGAGACGAAATTACCAAGCCTTGTCGGCCTCTCTATCGGGGATTAGTAGCGTCGATTCGTCATTCTGACGGCCAGGGCTGACAGGCGGCGGTGCTTATCTCAACATTCCATAACCCGGCGTACTGTGCGATGTATCTTACTAGGATTTGATTTGTAATTACCACTGCTACGACATGGGTTTGTGAGTGTTGTACATAAGCACAGTGTTAAGTAAACAGTATTACAGATATACTCCTCCAATCAACTTCCCTGTCTACTGCTGAGACATCGGCCACTTCCCCTTTCGGTATTTCCTCGCACACATGAACTTGAATGGGTCAAGTGAGCAAGCTAGAATTCCTTCCGTTAGGTAATCTTTCGAGAATAGGCCAGGGAAGTCCACGGACGAGCAAGGTAAGGGAATGGCCCTGGTCAGCCGCGCGCTAGTTTCTTATTGCAGCTTGCCGGAACTAAGAGTGATTGGCCAACGAAGCGTTCGTGTTGTGAACACTGAGGCTTATACTCTTTGTGTCAAATGCCGATCGCTGCACCTCACCTAGTTGCCGAAGGTCTATTTTGGATTATGAGAATCCCATTACATGTAACGTTCCTGTTGCGTTATTGAGTCGAGATAGACTATTGTTTCGTGCCTCTCAGTATGATTCATCCTTTCATGTTGGCCGGCAAAGCGGCCATGGACATGATACTAACTCTAGCACACAATTGCATCCTTCATACATGCAATTGAACTTTTTCCTTCTTTTTTTGCTGAGGTTTACGAGAGTTCCATGAGCCACGAAATTGCCCTGATAGTCTTTGCCGGTGATATTCGTATTGGAGTAAAATAGATATTCGTATTGAAAAAGACACATTCGTATTGAATCAATCTCAGGTACCAGGCCGAAGTGATGATTGTGTATATATCACTCCTTGGCTTCATGGAATTTACCTCCAACAACACCCCAATCACCTTCAACCCAGGTAGCCTTGATTGCCAAACGCTTAAACTTCCACAACCCATCACTATCCTCAACCAGCTCCCCGCGGTACAGACTTCCAGACATAAGACTAGGCTGGTCCGCCTCCATACCCTTACCACCGGCAAAATGTTGAACGAAAACGGTAGCAGTCAGGCTAGCCTCCTTCTCGTTGCCAGCTGCTCCTGCGGCCTCACCGGCTCCCACTTTCATGGTAACGCGCAAATTAGTAACGAAGTGCGTGGTGTCGACGGCAAAGATGAGAGCAAGTCCAGTGCTGTGGATCTCAGACAGGCCAGTCAGGGGACGGCCGTTGACCAGAAAGACGCCGTCGGGCAAAAAAGTTGAATCAAAGAGGGCTTGGTCGTTCGTGTCCCAGGCCACGGCGCAACGGTACATGGCGTCTGCCACGGCGTCACGGCCGGCCAGAGGAGGGTTGAGAGTTGCAGGAAGAGAGAAGGAGGATGCCATGTTAAATGTTTAGATAGAATTGCTCCAGCGGGTTGCGTTACTGAATTTTGTGGGAATAGACTTGCAAGGATATAGAACAGGGAATGACTTGATGATGGCAGGAGGATGTTTTCTTGTGTTTTGAAGGAATGATGGCCTCCTTTTATACATATTCTTCAATACATGAAATTAAAATACCGCATGGGTTCCGACTTTATTCAGCCTAACAGACCACTTGTTCCTGACATTTCGATGCCATCATCTTTCAACTGTTTATTGTCCACCTGGACAGCTTGTGGATCATGTCGAACATCGAGCCAATCAACTACTCATACTCCCGTTTTGTGGTTAGTGCAGGCCTCAGAAGCCGAGACATGGTTAGCGTGGACGATCAAGGGCCGGGGTAGAGTTCTGATACCTATTTGAATATCCCCTAACAAGTCAATAATATATCTTAATGCCATACGATCAATTTCCATATTCTCCAAGTGTTACAAGTCCTGAGATTTCAGGGCTTGAGATGTCAGGTGAGAGAAGTTTCTGAAGACCTGTCGACAGTGGTTTACTTCTCATATCTATTTACGGGCAACCCAACCATTGCACGTTCCACTCTCAAGATAACCTCCAAATGGATACACTCCAAGGCATTTTTCTCGTTGAGTTCTTTTTATCTTTGTGATACGAATCTTTGCACTGGAGACATGACACTGCTAATAGGAAGCCCCGTGATGCATATTAGCGGTAACAACCGTCCATTCTTCCGTCTAGCCATATAAGCGAGCATACCTACCAAAGGAGCTCCCTGCTTCATATCAGCTTAGCACTCTACAGTGAATGAATTCCTCGGTCGAATTAGTTATGTGTTCATAATAAAGTATTGAAGCATACCACTTAGACAAACCATCTAGCTGTGACACAAGAATGAGCTCAGACAATGTTGTGCACGCCGTTGCACGTGGCGGTGACTCAGTGATGAACAGAGTAGTAACTTGTTTATTAGGAAATACAGAGAGATTCCATTATCGTCATGGCGTGCATGGTGGCCATCTTGTGCCTGTAAAGTGACAGACTTGCTCCCGACCCTGGGTACCACGTTTCCGGGCGGTGGTGTTTGACACGCCGTGTTTGTTCCAGTGCTCCCTTTTCTATCCTATGCTGTTGAAGGTACTTGGGGTTGTTTGGAGGTGATTGACTATCGACTGATGTTTGACAGCCGCCCGAACTTACTGCCACGGCATGAGAGAAGGCGGTGACAAACTCGCCGCCCAGCAGAAACGCGACGCGTCCCCAAAGATTCTTCTTCTTTCTTCCTCAGGCTGCAATTTTCTCTCCCCAACACATTTCATCCTTCTTCGCACCTCCGCTCTCCCGTTGTTAGCCTGCCATCAGCCTCCGTCGCGATGCTTCCTGATGCACTGGTCAGTGTTTACCGACGCTACAAGGCCGACACCGATGCCTTGGCTGGCTGGCTTGCGTTGACGGCCAAATGCGCAGGCTGCCAGCCCCATCTCCTTGGCTCTTCTGGCGATGTGCCAGCAAAGCCACCAGGTAGGCTCAAGGGAAAGGCAAGGAAGCTGGCCAGGCTAGATCCAACTGAGATCAAGAAGCACATTATTCCAATCAAATGCTTCATCCCGCTAGCTGAGTACATTGCCTCCGCAAGGGCACCGAGAATCAAAGTGCCCGAGTCCGTCATAAACATTGCAGCGAGAGTCATCCGAGTACGATCGCAATTCAGCTCCCGCCTGAGCGATCACGGCGCCGACCCAAGCCTCGAATCTGACAAGACACATTCCCACTTTGTTGACATTCTCAAGAAAGTCCTCAGCATTTTGAATCTGTGTCGTCTTACCACTGGCTCTCCGAAGCGACCGCTCCACGACTCGATCCGGAATTCCTTCAGTCACCTCACCGTACAGGAGCCCTCGCAGAGCTTTCTCGACTCCAGTGACGCCGAGCTGCCACCAAAGGTCCACGCAGATGATGGTACGATTTTTGAGGCCGAGCCTCAAACTAGCTACGAGGACGCCAAAGCTGCATATGCAATGCTGCTGGCCGATTTGAACAAGATCAGGCGGGAGGTGAAGCTCGTTTGGCTCGCCTCCTCACACGGCACCGTGGATGTCTCAGCCGCTGGCGTCGTTTCGAACACCGCCATCGACTTGGCCCGGTATCTCATCGACCAAGTTCTCCCCCTACTGAAGGATCATGGCGGAGCCTACGATTTTGGGGCGAGATACGGGCTGGAGCTGATCAAAGAACGCGGGCATTTCATCCACGGAGTGCCCACTTTCACTCGCGAGATGCTAGAAGATTTCTACAAAGACGTCGACGAAACAATGTTGCTAGCGATAAACGCGATCAAAAGGAGGGAAATGTGCAGGTGCTGTTCGGAAATGTCAGGTGGCCGTCCTTGGAGTGACATTCATCATCAGGTCACCGACATCCTGGAGGTTACGCCCTACAAAATTCAAGAGGACAACATCATCTTTGCGGATTTCTATGGCGACCTCATGGATCTTCTGTATAACTCCGATCGATATCCCATCGAAGACGAGTCGGTCCGGGGAATTCGTGAACTACGAGAAAAGCAACAGTCGCCATTCTATCTTGCCTTCGCAGCCCAGGTCATTCTCGACATCCACCACACCCTCGGCCCGCGCGTGTCCAGGCCTTTAGCTCAGCTCACAAAGGAGCTCAACTTCATGGACGATCTCATCGACAAGCACTATCAGACCGACGATGTTGATCTGAATGAGAAGACTGACTGTCGCTGCCTCCGCAGTTTCCAGAGCGATATCAAATACTTCCAAGCCGACCCTACACTTAAGCACAGAAACCCCAACCGTCCGTCGAACCACCTTCATGGAACTTCCCCTCCGACCAAGCATCGAATCTTGAAGCTGTCGCCAGTCCTTTGCGGGGTCGCCATATTCAGCTTTCGCTCGAAGATGCACGACGTGGGCTTCAAAGCCTTCAACCGCAGCCGCTCCATCGTGTACGCTGTCCACCTTTACAACGCCCTGGTCAAGGAGAAACTGGTCGAGAATACCTGGGTCGACATGCAGCTCGCGGAGAACTTCTTCGGCGAGCGTAATATCTTTGCCGGCAAGAAACCGAGCGACACGGATGGGTACCTCAAGCAGCTGATGCTCCAGGAAGGAATGACCGTCCGCGGCCTGTGCAACCTTTTCAACCAGCTCAGGGGGAATGGCCAGGTCATGTCGGGGGCGGAGATGCGCCGGTGCAAGGAGACCAAACAGGGAGCCCCCGTTTCCAACATCTTTATCCAGAGATACAGCAAGAACTCCAAGCGGATTGACCTCAGACCGGAGGACATAAACGAGATCATCTCACGCCGGCGCTGGATAGATGTTGAATCGCCTACCGAGACGAGCGAACGACGCCAGTCCGTTCCGGACTTGAAAGTTCGACAGCATCTATCCCCACACGAGTTATTGAGGCCGTTGGCGCGTGCACTCACCGAAGAATCATTCGAGATCGCCTTTCCGCGTCTCCTGATGCAAAAGGTCTGCTGGGAGTTTCTGCAAAAGGTCAACGACGAGTGTGGACCAGATGTAGATGAAGGCCTTGACCAAAGTACTCCTTGTACTCCGAAAGACATTGTCGGTGATATCTTCTCCCTTGCGGTAGCCGATAGGACCAAGGGCATGAAGGTTATGCAAAAAGCTGCTCAGGTGGTTGAGGACACGCTTGCGTCTAGATCACGGAGCGTGGTTCTCGACGTGATGGAGAAAGACTTTGGTCTCTCTAGGGACCTGTTGGAACAAGTTTGTGCCGCTTCAAAGCTGGCCAGTGTCTTTTAGATTTGAGGTCATGAAGTGTATCACGTGGTGGACACGAGAACGGACTGAAAGAATGTAGTTGCTGGGACTTTTTTGTGCAATGTAATGATCGATGGTTTGGAGTCTAGCACACGGATTTATGATTTCCGAATGGTTGGAGTTAATGTTAGGGCATGTGGCAGCAAAAGAACTAAGAACAAGAGCATTTAATGATGGAGACTTAGCATAATGAGAGGCTAAATAAAATAAATTCAACAACCATACACCTCGATTTGTGATTACACCTCAACTCTACTACCGCATTAACCCTAGTAGATTAAGTCTCACTAACACCCTTCCACCAGAATTTCTTAACAAATGAGAAGACGGGGAAACCAGTGCTACTTGGAAAGTGTCCTTCCATCCCTTGGAGCTCGCAAGCATCCTCGTGAGGAAGCGAACTATTCGAAGGTTTAAGTCGTCAAGTGAAGGTTCCGCCAAGACGTTGTCCTAGAAGTTAGCTAACAAGTAGATGTACTTAACCGTTCATGGATAACAGTGAAGCTGATAAGTACTGGCTACATAAGGCCGCTCAACGAACTCCCGAGTCAGCTTACAACGAATGTGTTGCCCCGTAATACAGTGAGATGTAAGCCACTAACCAGATATGGAAGTGGCATATGAATCAGTGTTTATTGGAGAAAACCCTCATCTCACCGTTGTCATGCCCAGTTCAAACGAGAGGCATAGCCGCAAAGGAAGGATGGCGTCCACCGCCCAGTTAGAAGCCCAAGGGCGGAAGCCGACGAGAAGATCAAGATACGGCTGCAGGAACTGCAAACTCAGAAAGCTCAAGGTGCGCAATTATCTTTCAATTAATTATCAATCGCCCGCCGCTGATCTCTCTGTCCACTTCAGTGCGACGAAACCAAGCCGCAATGCAGGAGGTGCTGCTCGTTTGGAGTAGTGTGCAACTTCATACTCAGTATTTCGGATCTTCAACCTATCGCCGATGACTCCATAAGGCCATCAGTTCCACTGAAGGGAGCTGTCCCTCGGCCTTCGATGGCCAACGCTGTCTGGACATCCGACAACACATACTTCTATCAGTTGAACGTCAAATGCCAGGACTTCCTCACCCGGTACCTGGGTCAAAGTCTTATTACACCTGACGACCCAAGTATGGTCGAGGTAAATCGTAAACTCCTCGCCCTAACCTTCACGGTAGGTCATCACAGCCAAGTTTTTCTGCTTGAGATAGCATGGAACTGATAAGTAAAAGCGTCGGAAAGTCGGACGACTGACATGTTATCTACAGCACCCATACTTGATGCATGCCTCGTTAGCGGTGGCGCTCGCGTATGATCGCCATCTAAACAGCTCACCGGACGGTCGTCGCTCTGTAGAAGAATGTTACCACCGGGCTCAAAGTACAGCACTCTTCAACCGACGGCTACGCGAGCCGATTCAGACGGGGGACAAAGATCCAATATGGGGCACCGCAGCGGCTCTAGCTCTCCTGAGCTTCGCAACACCTGATACATGTAGTCCAGAAGAATCATGGCCCTTGAAGTCTTCCGGGCCCTCCGACTTGGAATGGTTGCGCATGAGCAATGGAAAGATGTCGCTCTGGCGCATCACAGACCCCCTCCGGCCAGACAGCCTGTTCCATGTTATGGCTCCCGCCTTTGCCCAGATGAACTCGCCTCTCCCAGATGTGGGCATCTATGGCATCCCAGTCCCGCTGGCCAGCGTTTGCAATCTTGACAACAGTTCTACCGATGAGAGTAACCCTTACTTTAAAGTCGCCCATGCGGTATCTCAGGTATTGGATCTCCCAGATAGCCAAGTCACTACAGGCGAAATTGGAGTCTTCCCGCGCAGCATACATGATTCGTTCAAATACTTGCTTTTGGAAAGAGACCCCGTCGCGCTCCTGCTGCTATATCTGTGGTATCGCAAAGCAAGTCGGAGTATGTGGTGGGTTGAACTCAGAGCAAGGGTTGAGTGTCCTGCTATTTGCTTGTATCTGAGGACATATCATAAGGAGTACCATGCTGTGCACGAATTTCTACCGGGAGGCTCACTTGCTAGAGAATAATTAGAGCAAAGAGAATTTTCTATCCCGATCCTTCATCTGTCATCACCTCCTTGAAGAAGCAATATTATCCTCAGGCCTCTATTAGAAGTGGTCACAAGGAGATATTGGATCCCTGTTCGCGGTACAAAGGCAATAAGGCGTCCATGATGTTAGGCATCTATAATTACTATATGGATCTTAGTATGGGAGTATCCTAGTCCTGTAAATGCAATTCCTTACACGTATTTATCCACTCCTCAGCGTCAGCACACCACTAGCTGCATGCATAGCCAGGTTACAGCCACAGCAGAATGGCCCGCAGCAGATTTGCCTAATGTTGAAAGTTGCGGTATTTTGCTCAATCTCGAGTGGGAATATATATGGTGTAGGGGAAGCTAAGATCCCAGTATATCAAGCCAACACTATAATCAAACCTCATCGCCCATCGTGATGGGCAGCGATCTATGTTGTCCACCTGTGAGAACAACCTCCAGCACCCTGCAATCAATGCAAGATGCCAGGTGAGACTGTTGAGGCTTTACCCCGCTACTCCGAGGGCTCGCATGCCCCAGGGGGCTTTCCACATCGTCGACATCGATCAGTTGCCATGTACTCCCTACAGGGCTTTATCCTACGCTTGGGGCAGTAGTGTCGTTCAAAATGATTCTCAAATAATTGAAATTGACGGCCACACCCATCAAGTTCGGGAGAACTTGTACAGTTTCCTATGCAGTGTGGGACAAAGAGAGGAATACGGGCTCTTTTTCATCGACGCTCTTTGCATCAATCAGCTAGACAACGACGAGAAACCACAGCAAGTCATGTTGATGGATAAGGTTTACAAACACGCCAATCAAGTGGTTGGATGGCTTGGAGCTCCAGATTGCCAACAGTATGCGAATGTCAAGACATTGCATGAGAGCATTCATCAGGACCGCCGCACGTGGGACCAAGCAGCCTGGGATGGTCTCACCTTTCTGAGCCATGCCAACTATTGGGGGCGTATGTGGGTTGTCCAAGAAGTGGTCCTCGCAGCCAGCATGGAGGTCTGGTGCGGCCCATTTACTTTCCCCGTCGAGTTATTTGAGAATTCATCTTCCACAAAGGCAGCCTCAAAGTTACGATTCGCACCCGACGGGTCCCCCAATTTATCTGTATCAGCCAGCGAGAGGTCGCAAACTCCCGCTCAAATCATCGTGACCCATCGTCTAAGACACGTTCTCCGGCCGATACGGCGGCCTGAGTGGAACCAGCTACATATGATGACGCAAGAAGAGATTCAGAATGCTCTGCTTAAACCTAAAGATGCAGTCCACACATACAAATCAAGGCTACCCGATACACTTTGGCAACTTATGTGGAAGTTCGGGCGGCAAAACTGTTCTGACCCTATGGATAGACTCTACGGGCTACTCGGGATCCTCAGTGAAGACACTCGAGCCCAGATCAAGCCGGATTATGGTAGAGGTGTCCTTTATGCCTTCTATCAAGCACTAAGTGTCGGTTTACAAAGGATGTTCCCTATTGAAGAACGAACCATCAGCGAACAATTCCTGGACGGGGAGCGCTCCTATATCTCTTACTACTGTGATATTCGGAACGCATTCTCTCTCGACGACAGGGTGACTATGCCAATCCTGCGGCAGGTGTGCAAGGAGCTCCAACTCTACAGGAGAGGGCGAGACGCACTATTTGAGGCGCAGCTTAGCAGCATGTACGGCTGGGGTGACCTCGATATTCGGCATCACAGGCATCACAGAGAGTTTGAGAAGGCAATTTTGGACATTGCAGAGGAGGAGCAGGTCTCAGAGGACAGTCGCCTGTTCCGCTTTCATTCATGGCAGACGCGAAAGTTGACGAACTTGTACGTTGTTCCTCATTTCACTAATAGGGATATGCTAACATCTCAAGTAGAGCTAATCGACTCACGTCTAGAAGAGTAAAATCGCAAGGGTGGCAAGCCCTTAGTTAATGAATACCGACCTACTGGAGGAAGACCAGGTGCCATAGATGTATTTCATAGTGTACTCTTTCTTTGATGACTGTATATAATAAATAAGCATGAATTAGCTATTGGGAAGCTACCAAAGCAGGTAGAATGCTACTTCCATACGTCTCAACAGGCGCTAAAAGCTGGTACGTCTCCCACTGCTGACGAGCAATACTATCCGTCGAGTCCGCTTCCGGCTCGATGAACTCATCCGCGTCCATTTCATCCTTGAAAAAGTCCTGGCCCTCCTTCTCCAGCAGCTTCTCACTCGCCTCTTGCTGGCCGCCGTTGTCCACCTTTGTCTTTGGCACAGTGATGCCCTGCGCCCAGCTAAAGTAGCCATCCTTGTCCCAGATCTGCTTCACGCGGCGGAGCTCCCAGATATTGTTTCCCCAGTAGGCCATCTCGTGCTGGATGAGCCTGTCGTCGGGGAAGTTAACGTACGTCGCGCCGGGAACCATACCGTAGGGTCGAAGCTGCGGCTTCACCACGTCCAGGACAGCTCGCATGTCGTACTCGAGCCACTTGTCGGTGAACTCGAGGTTGATGTATGCATTGTAGGTGCTTCCCCTCCAGCGGAAGGCACTGTCCTTACGCGGGCGAGTGTTGGCTTCGCCACCAGAGTGGATGAAGGTGGCCTGGAAGACAGTATCCTTCTCGCTGCCGAATTTCTCGCGGAAAGCTTGCATCTGTTTACGGAGGATGTTTGTGATCTTGCCGAATATCTCGGCGTTGTTCTTGAAGACAAAGGAAGTGTGAAGTTGGTAGGTCTTGTTGGTGGGGAATGCTTTCTTAGTCTCTTCGATCCATTGCGCGGCAAGTGTCTCGTGGAGGAAACGCGTCGAGACCTCTTCCAGAGAGCGTTGCTTGAGCTGTGTCTTAAGATATTCATGCTGGGCTAAAGCGTTCTTCCGTTGAGCTTCAGTGAGGGTCTCCAGGTCCCCTTTTGGTAGTTCCCATCCATCAATGACCTCTTCATACTCTTTCTTCCTGCCATTGAAGTACACGATGAAACGAACACCCACTTCAGTGTCCGTTTTACTAGTCTCGCAGAGCCAGGTGCTATCAATGGTCATAGCATTGGGCCAGTTCTTAGAATAGAATGACTTCATGATGATCATGAACGCATCCATGTTCTCCCTCTTCACGTACCAAGTAAACTTGCCCGCCATGACCCAGTTGCTCTGCAGCTTCTTGAGCTCCAGCTTCATCTCGGTCACCACGCCGAAGTTGCCACCACCGGCGCCCCGAAGTGCCCAGAAGAGCGCTTGCTTCTTCGGATCAGAGTCGTTCTTGGTAACGGTGACCTCATCGCCCGCTGCCGTGACGATGCTGAACTCCTTGACGGTGTCGCAGCCCATCCCGAAGCTTCTGGTGAACGGTGCCAATCCGCCGCCGAGTATGAAGCCGCTGACACCGACAGAAGGACAACGCCCTCCGTTAACAACGAAGCCATCGAGGCGCTCGCTAATGAGCTTCTTGTACACGTGGAACCAGAGAGCGCCACCCTTGATCGTCGCTGTCTTCTCGCCGGTCTTGTCGTCCGTTGCAATTGACACTTGGTTCATTAAGCCGAGCTCCATAAGGATCCCGACTTGAGCGGTAGACCCGCCAGCAAAGGAGTGTCCTCCGTTCTTGATCGTGATGGGGATATTCCTTGCCTTGGCGATCTTGACAACGTCGCGGACGTCGCAGGCGCATTTGGGCTGGACAACACAGGGGGGGAGGGAGAAGCGGTAGAGTAGATTGGCGGTCGCAATGTACCGCTCGTGGTCATCCTCGCCAGGCTCATAGGTAGGGATGCGCTTGGTCTTGAACAGTTTGATGGCCGCTGCAATGTCCTCGGGCTGGTATGGGAGGGCAGGGATAGAAGTTTGCTCTGACATGATTGCCGAAAGTGCTTGAATGAATAGAACGAAATGGGATAATTCTAGGTGAGAAGAGTGATTTGTGTCTATGACGGGCAGATTGGCTTAATAGTTGTCGGGTATGTTACATACTTGGGGTTGTAGAAATCATGTTGTGGTGCAATGCTCCGGGAATCAATAGTGTCTGTCATGTTGCATTTTAGAATCGTATATTCAGTCTAGACGTCCGCACCCTGTATTCGAGGTGGACCAAAATGGAGATAGTGCGGACGGGGCTGCATGATGGCTGCAAAGATATTGATCTAGTGATGCAGTTCCGTCTTCAGCTGGCCAGAGTCGAGGCCGTCCACCATTAGGTGAGCCACTCAGGGACTGAGGGGGCGGTCTTTTTACGAACTAGATTTATATATCTTTGAGACATGCAGCATTCTATGACCCATTTCGCAAACCATCGAGTGATATTGGCACGGGCGAGATTGGGCTTGTATGAATCGGGTGACCTTTTGGCCACTGTTGAGCTGAACCTCGTTTGTCTTGCTCTCATTGGTCTTTGGCTCAATATTATTCATGCGCCGCCTTCAGCTCCATCTATCCAATGATTTCACTGCTGTCACTATTTTCCTCCGCTTCAAGTTGCCCAAGGCTACGCTGTACCTGTGATAAGGCCCGAGCATATTGTAAGGCCGAATCTGACCACTCGCCGACAAAGGCGATTCACCAAGTTGGCCACATGACCATCAATCAGAACGACGCGCAATACATCGTGCACAATACTATGTCGCTATCGCTATCGCAAATATCTAGCTTCGATATAATAGGAGCACGTGAGAGAAGAATCGAAGCACACGACAGATGACCTGGATTCGGCTTCTATTTTGGGCAGATGCGATGCCGCAGCCGCCAAGAAGCGAACAGGCCAATCAGCTCGCAACACAGATCCAAGCCACGGCGGGTGATGGAGAAACTGCGCAAGTAAAAGCGACGATCTTGGGCTGATTTTGCTGGCAAATAAGGCTTTCTCCCCGGCAGTCGTCACCGGCACTAATGAGCCCCCAAAACAGCGCTGAAAATCTCCACTTGCGGCCACCGAGCCACCGCTGGACACGACGCTGTCTGAAATATGAATGAGGATTCCAGATGGCATCAAAACAATAAATACGGCCTATTACTCTGTATCTATCCTCATAATTCATCATAATTCATCATTCAACTCAATTCACAAACTAATTCACCAAGATCAAACTACCACTTTACCAAACACTTCCACACAACAACCAACTCGCCATCATGTCTGCCCAGAGCTACTACGGATCTTCCTCCAACTCCTCCAACTATCCTCAACAGGTCAGTCTCGAATCAGCACTTCACCATCTCCAACTCGGCCATGTACTAACTTCCTACCACTAGGCTCAGTATGCCCAACAGCCAAGCCAGAGCTCTCATTATGGCCAGGCCCAGGGAGCTCCTTATCAGCAGTCCTACAACGCCCAGGCATACCAGACCCACCCCCAGGCTCACGGCCAGCCTGAGATGATGGCCGGCCCCGACGGCGAGCGAGGTCTCGGTGCAACTGTCGTCGGAGGCGGTGCCGCTGGCTGGACAGCCCACAAGGCCGGCGCAGGCATGCTTGGCAGCCTTGCGAGCGCCGCTGCCGGTGCCATTGGTGCCAATTTCCTCGAGAACAAGCTCAAGAAGTAAGAAGCCGTCAAGATCAAGTGCTCACAACTAGATGATTCGCTAACAGCATGGGCTATCTAGGCATCGCAAGGATAAGAAGAACAAGCACTAAGCTTGCGCAAGAGCCATGATTCATGATGTCTGGGTATACGAGATTAACTATGAGGAGGTTTATCAATTTGGGATTAGATTGATTTGAGGATGGATTTCACGATGGTTGTTTTGTTATTCGTGTGATTGCTTTTTTGATCGTGAGTGTGGGTGCGAATTACAACATAGATTACATCAACGATAATAGACTGTTTATGCGAGTAAAGCCTTTCACTGAGTGATTTTTATCTTAAATTCTCATAGAAACAAGATTCGTCTCTCACAATTGTGGATTCCAGTCACACAAGCTTACATAGCTCTGACCTGTCAGCAATTGGGGGCGACAAGGACACGTTTGCTTCTAAAACGAAGCTAGAGATCAACACAACCTGTGCCATATTCAAGCACGAAATAGATGTGTACCAGACTACCAGTTCTCTACTCTTCACCATGAAGTCTCTCCAGTGTTTGATTGTTGCAAATCTAGTCTGCGCTTCGAGCGCCGCGTTTCTACCTCGCTCGCTGCTCGCTTATTTCGGTCTATCCGAGAGCAACATCCCACGATTCATTCGCGAGATCAATCATCCCTACATCAAGTCTCACCAGCACGATATCGAATCCCTTTCAGATCCCACCGAGGCATTATGCAATCCACACTCACAGTTCCGTGCATCCTTGCCGGATTTCCCTGATGACCTGTTCAGAAGACTATCAGTCGACAACAATAAAGTATCACGGGGCAGACGTGGATGGACGAATGCCAGAGAGGTATTATCCGACATCCTGAGCTGCAAAGCGGCTCTTGGCGGCGTTGAGGAGTTTGAGGTCGACATATTCCTACAAAGAGGAGATGATGAGTGGTTTGGCGAGGCGCCGACCCCATCCGATGATATTCTAGACCTATTTGTACGGTTCTTCGCCAATACTCCGCGCCTTTCGAATCTCACATGGGTCCAACCGTCAGCAGATAGCGCTGCAGCCGCTACGTTTGAGAAATATTTCTTCGAGCAAAATGTCGAATTTCCAGCCTTGACCGAGGCAAGTCTCGGACCCAACATGCACTATCTGCTGGCTGGGGCACCACACTTGCGGAAACTCACCTCCTACTCGAAGAGTTCCGTCTGGTCCATTTATTCGATGAGATCTCTGTCTCAACAAGCAGACGGTCCGCAGATGAGTTTCGTCAAGGTCACTTCGAAGCTAAAGCGCCTTGAAGAGTTTGGCCTCCATGCAACGTGGACAGCAGAGTTGGTAGCTGAGCTACTACAGTCGGCGGGCCAGCTGGTGAGACTGGATGTGGACGGAGGTGTGGACGGACGATGGGCCGGGGATAATCTTGGGGTGAGCATATCCCCTTGTCGAGAAAAACGTGTGAGGCTTGAAGCTCTATCAGAGAAAAACTAACCGAATACTTGGTGATATAGGCAATGGCAAGGGAATTGAACAAGTTCGAAAATTTGAGACAACTGCGCCTTCCTCACGTCATTCACTTGGGGTTTGGCAGCTCTGATGAGTTGCCAGATTGTGGCAATGCATACTTCGGTGCTTCTGGCAGGGTCCTGAGGCGGCAGGAGCAAATAAGTCATATTTTCAGCACCGAGAAGGCAGCTGAAATCATCTTCCCCTTGATGCCTAATCTTGAGAAACTGTGCATAGGTGGTGAATGCACGGAGATCGCGCTTGGCAAAGAACTGAAATGGCCGTGGACAGGTCGACTCCGAGATTATATGCTGGAGGAATGGCCGCGGTGGGAAAGTGGCACGTACGGATATCGATACGAGGAGTCTGAGGACCCTCAAGGTCCGGTCCTGGAAAGCTGGGAAGAGGACAGAAAGTGGTTTGGTGGGTCAGATGGCCATGGGGAGCTTTAATTCATGGTCAATGTACACGGATTCCGGTAGCGCGCATATGTAGCTTGAAAATAAGACACACCGCCGACTATCGAGATGGAAAGGAAAGTGATCCGCCAAGGGCTCGGGAGAGAACTGACCTGGGGTGAAGATGTTACCTCCTGAAGAGTGCATGGCGAAACACTTCCCTAACGATTAGAGAAAGTAAACGTCATCGGGTAGACAGTTCACTAGCCTCGGCTTGGTTCACTCAATATATGATAAACTTAATTCACTATAAACATATAGGGGGTAACACTTCGGCTTGTGTTAGTCCGTCTAGCTGCTCTTCATTTCACTCACAAGCTTAAACATGTCTGCCAAAGTCTCCACGTTGGTGAGAACACTGTCGTGGTTGGTCTTCTCGACAGTTCTCGCTCTAATGTCCACACACTGGTCGTGTGCTGCAGCTGCCTCTTCCCAACACGATTTAAAGTAATCTTGGCCCTTCTTACCAGTCATGATGTCGGACTCTGCAAAATAGATGCTCACGCTAAGCTTCCCCGCCTGGCCCTCTGAGTGTGCCCCCTTCTCTCTCGAAGCGATTCTATCGACCAGATCATGCATGTTGTCGGCTTCGTCCCACGCGCCTTTTGCTCCCTTTTTGAGACAGTTGACAGCCTCCCAGTTTGCACCAGCCGTTTCTTGATCAAACATGCCTCGAACCATGAGACGCTCCAGCTCGACTTGCGTATCGTACGCGGGTCCATAATCCCGTTCGATGGCCCGCATGTTCTTCTCCCGCTCCGAGGGCTCTTGGTTCCCAGGTGTCAGGGCCTGGGCCATCTGACCCAAAATACCGGACGATGCCTCAATTGTGCCTCCTGCCTGAACTACAAAGAATTTGGCCAGCTTGTTCCACTGCGACAGGGCAAAGACTGGAAACACCTGTAGTGAGGAGATGAGTGCCGCGTTGGAGCAGGCTCCGTCCACGAAGGGGGCGAAGAAGAAGACCATAGGATGCTGAGGGTGTAGTATCTGACGCGAGTGCCAGAGGAGATTCATGTTGTAGAGAGTTCCTGCGCTGTGGGATGCGAGCGCGACGTGCTTGATGCCAAGGGCCTCCAGGAATTCAGGCAGGATGGCCACCCAGTCCTTGATACGATCTTCTGCACTAACATTCGGCGTTTTGCCAAAGCCAAAACTATCAAAGTCGTCAGTTTGATTGATTCAGTAATGCGATCCGGGGGAAATCACCGGTCTGGGACCAAGACTCTCACGCCGTGCTTCTGTCCAAAGGCATGCATGAACGTGCCAAGGTATCGCGACCCAAACATGCCAGGCGTGAATAAGATGGTAGGTGTGTCTGCATTGCTATTGGGATCTAAATGTCCACACTCTGAATAGCTGATTAGAACGTCGCCATGCTTGCCGCCTGAAGGGATGGTGACTGTTTGATGAAAGCGCGGATTGGCGAGATATTCCGTCGCGGCGTTTAAGGCGATATTATCGGCAGTCATGATGCCACCAGATTTGCTTTTGGTTGGTGATTAATTCAATGCTAAAACTGAGGTCAGGACAAAAAGGAAATCAGGAAAAGAATCATATGGTTCGACAAAGTGGTCAGCTGGATGTTGTAGGAGCAAAGTTCAGCCGTAAGCGGGGCGTTGCGGAATTGGGACAGTGCACGTGGGTTTTGCTGAAAGGACTCGTATTTACAGTCCAGAGACACCAAACATGAAAGCGAGAAAGATACATAGGGCCGCATACTTGACGTTATCTATGATCCCTCTGAGAAAAAGTCCTCTATAGGCGTTCGAGTTGGATAGGAATAGATAAGTCACAACCTCTTACTGAGCTGCAGCCTGGGCCTAAACCAGTTGCATCTTCAACACCAGAAGTCTACCCTACAGCCCGATAAGCATGAGACTCCCGCGATTCAAAACCATCATCTCCAAAGGATATTGAATCAGCATTTAATGTTGCTAGAATTCTTCACGAAACTATTGAATAAAATATTTAGTTAAATGATTATCCGGCGTTTAATTATGGCAACACATTGCTAAAGAGGTACTAGACCACAGGAGAATCATCGTGTCGGGTACCATTCCCTATGATGAACACGCAATCAAGCGCTGCTAGTCTAAAGTCTCTAGAATTGTGCGATATTGATAACTTCATGGCTGTTTAATAAAATCTTAGTGCAATTGATTCACCACTGCACGCCGAGGGGAGATAGGTGTTCTTCGTTTTCATGCCCTGTTCGGCCACTTGGTGATTGGGAAGCAGTCAATGTCAGGCCTCTGTCGGGCTTGAATTGGGCCGATCTGCGGAGTTTTGCTTGGGGCTTGAACAATCCCTGTTAGCGCAGTTCGAGCTCAATTCGCGCCGACGCGTCTAATTGTTATTGCGATGACGGAATCGAACTGCCCTCTGCACATACTCGCGAATCAATTAAGCATCGACCGTTGGCGACTGGTAGAATCCACGCTGTAGTAGCCGATTTGCTTTATCATCTTGTGCCAATCACATCAGTCAATCACCATGGCTCCCCCCAAGCAGACACCAGTCCCCCTCCCCATCCCGGTGGGCATGCCGACCTCGTCGGTGCCCGCGCACGTCGTGACCAGGCCAGCTCCTCTCGCTGAGAAGGATGCCAACGCTGTTCCCACCCCACAGCCCACCGGCGGCAAGAAGCGCAAGTCAGCCGGAGCGGCCGACGGCGACGACAAGCCCAAGCGGCCCAAGAAGGCCAGCGCCAAGGACGCCCAGGACGCCCTCCTCGACGTCAACCACATCGACCTGCCCGGGCAAGAGTCCCGCAAGGTGCCCGTCTTCGACACCTGCAGGGAGATCCGCAAGAAGATCAAGGCCCTCCTCCGCAAGGGCGTCCAGCAGGCCGCCTTTGTCCGGGCCATGAACAAGGGCCTGCCCGACGACGGCGGCAAGAAGGTCAACTCGATGAACATGAAGACCTTCATGGAGCAGAAGGACACCATGGACGGGAACACGAGCACGGTCTTCTACGCCGCCTACATCTTCTTCGAGAGGCAGCGCATCAGGGATAACAAGCCCAAGACGGCCTTCCGCGAGGAGATGGAGAAGACTCATGGCAGGGAGGGCGTGGATATTGTCCACAATGTGAAGGGTGGGATGTGGTTGTTTGCCGGCGAGAGCGCCCATATGGACAAGTACGGAAAGCTGCAAATTTCAGGGGGGCGATGATTATTGGTCTTATGAATGTCATATTGTATTGTTTCTGGTGGTGTTGAGGACTCATTCATTGGAAGGCAAGTATCTCGAAGCAACCGGCGGAGAGGTATTGGGGCTTGGATCTCGGATCTATCATTGGCGTTTCTTAGGCATGGATGATTTGGAATAAAATAAAAGTGTTTCAATTACACTTCATTGTCATCAAGTCGTAAATTGAAGTGACGTGGTCTTTGCCTTCAGATCTTGCAATCTTAAGGCTACGGGGAGAGCATCTCAAAAGAGAACCCACGGCTTCCAACCAACACACCTCCCCTTCGCCGCATACATCGTCACACCACATGCCCCATACAAGCATCCGGCAAATACAATAGCAGACCAGTATTCACCACCTGCCCCTGATATCAACTGCCCTCCCAGCGGCACTCCAATGAGGCCAGCGAACGATGCCACGGTGCACGAGGAGGCCCAATACCGGCCATAGTTCTTTATACCGCACAATTTCCCAATGCAGACTGGATTCATGCTCATATGGCTCCCGCTGCCGAACCCAAACATGGCAACGAAGACCACCAGACCGGCGAGGGATGATCCAGCTGGAAGCCAGATGGCCAGACAGGATATGCAGCACAATATCGAAGCAAGCATGTGTGAGTTGAAGGCCCCGAACTGATCACCCCACCACCCTGCCAGAATCCTGCCGCAGATACTGGCTGCATTCAGAATGGTTGGGATCTGGTAGGAGAAACTGAGGCCGAACCCTTTGCTAAGGGCGTAGCTCGAAACGTACGTCATGGGAATGAATAGTGCGAACTCCATCAGGAAGACTCCCAGTGTTGCCAAGCTGAACGCCGCGTCCCGGAATATCTTGAGGTCTGGGTGCAGGCTCATACCTCCAGTTGATGATAAACGTGTACGGACGAAGAAGAACGCACAGACGCAGCAGAAGAGGTTGATCAATCCTACCGCCCACATACCCCATCTCCAGCCCGCCTGCTCGAAGAGAACGCGAAGGATGATGGGGTACACCATGCCGCCGAAGGAGCTACCGGTGGATGCGATTCCTGTAGCTAAACCTCGACGCTGCTTGAACCAGTGGCCAACAGTAGCGTATGAGGGAGTCAAGAGTAGCGCCCCTCCGATACCATTCAGAACTCCAAACACTAATATGAAGCTCCAATATTCTGACCATAAGTTTAGTTGCATAATTCTATGGATTGAAGAAGGGGAGGTTCTCACCAGCGCAGATACTCAACAACATTGGGCATGCGACGACACATACCCCTCCCGAAGCAAGCAACCATTTCGGTCCGTACTTGTCGAAGATGGGGCCGACGTAGATGCCGCAGAAGAAGGAAAGAAACGCCCAGAGGGAGAAAATCCACCCGATGGACCCCTCGTCGTGGTCTGCGAGCTGGTGCCTGCTGATATACGCATGTACTGTAGCCATTGAATTTGCCAGTCCCAGCGCACCGAAACAGGAGAGCCAGCAACCGAGCACCACCAGCCACGCTCTCAGGCCACCTTCGGGAAAATCTTGCTCTTGCTCTTCGGGGGGAATCTCATCTTCTAGACCTGTCTCTTCAGCTGGGGTGACTTCATTTTGGACTGAGCCTTTTTCATTCACCGCAGGTTGCTGAGGGTTAGCCTGGGCTTGGGTGTCCGGACTGGTAGGCATTGTGTAAGGGGTTGACAGATGTCTGGAGGTTCTCAACGCTTTTCTGAGTTACGCTTGGATGAATTACTTCCAATGACAGCCTATCGATTTCAGCCAGTCTGTTGATGGAAAATCAAGGTGTTCCTCGTTGAAATGAAGAGCGTGCGTCCAAAATTACCGTGTGAAGTTCTCGGCATCGGCTTGCAGCTCGGCATCGGCTTGACCCGCCAGTCAGACCGGCATCGGCTTGGTGGAGTGGTTGAGCCTTAGCCTGTGCGTGGGCGATTGATTTGTCTCGCTTGACACAGTCAACCTCGGAGAAGTCATGCCTCTAAATCGAAAGTGGAGTCTGATTGCCGGACTGGCTAGACCTAGTTATGTTTGTGAGTTGATGCCAGAGGAAGTGTTGCATTGCGTGATGGGAAGCTGTCCAATGGTGTTTCCCAATGTATTTTTGATTTTGTCCGCTCGCCATCTTATCTAAACACTACCCTTGGAATTTAGGAGTATAGGCTGATATCGCTCTATATCAGGAAAACTAGCAGTCTTGTTGGTAAAACATCCAATACCGAGCCTGTACATTTTCACAACATGAGAACTAGCCTTATCTCGAGCCCACATAGTGATCGGGCTATCTTGCCATACAATGGTATCGAAAGGGCTATTAGAACCTTTATCTAGGTTATTGGGAAAAGAATTACGGCCGTTGCGTCCATTGGTCTATACACTGACGGTCTCTAGTCTGTTCATGCTGGTGAAAGTGGCAGGACTTTCCGTGCAGCGATCATGGTGAAGCGTCAGTTGGCCCCGCAATGGGCCAATTATGCGTTTCTACACAAGCTGGGACCCTTGTACAGGGCTGGTCCCTCATCTCGCAAACCTGCAGGCTGACATGTCCTTTCTCCCTGAAAAATCACGGTCACTCCCAAGATTCACGGTGTTCAGAAAAATTCGCCAATGCTGGAACGCGCTCGACATGTTTTTGCCCCAGGAAGTCATTGACACCATCGTGTTCTCGCTCCTTGCCCCCGTGTACCAGTCGGAGAACGGGGCGGGTAGCACGCAATGGATTGACGGGCGTGTTTTCAAGACCAACACCTGCAGAGATAAGCTTGACATTGGCCATCGTACGGCCTTCGACCGTGAGGCCGTCTGCAACATACGCCTAGTATCTCTTGCATGGTACTGTAGCGCCACGAAACTTCTTGAGAGACACATGTCATGGCACCTAGACCTTGACTCGGACTATTCGCTTGCCAAGATAAGGCAGCTGTGCGTTGATGAGGTGGGGGTTGGGAGACTGCTCCCAACCCGAAGTATTGTCAGGAGACTGAAGGTATTGCCGATCAAGACGAGTATAGCACCAAATTCGATGGCCTATGAAAGGATAGAAGGGCAGGCAACTGAGGAGGAGTTGTTGCAATGGCCCAAGGATAGCGCGGCAGCGTACCGACGTTTCGCGCGCTACTGCTATTCCAATGCTAACGGAGAAGAAGCTCGTCTAAGGTCAATGACCATGGCGTTGGTGTGTAGCTTACTCCGCCGCTTCTTGGAAAGTCTGATCTACATCGAATCTTTGGACATCGCCTTCCCAGAAGCCAACGTTCTTTGGGTTGATCAGCGCGCAGAGTCATACATCATGGATATAGTTCGAAGACTTTCGCGGGAAGTCCGGTATGGATTAGGGACAGAGGCGTTCGCTTGTTTGCAGGATCTCCGCGTTTCTCTCCCGGGAACATACGATGTCAAATTCTACCTTTCCGGAATGAGCCAAGCCGCGCGGGACAGGCTCAAAAACCTGTTCATAGGGATCCAAGACGCTACGGGAGCTGCTGGATGCCATGAATATATCCGGCATCCTTGGACAAGGACGGAAGACTTGGACGGGACGGTTCTTGACTCCCGAGGGACAGTGTTGCAAAATCCACCAAGCCGCCTGCAGCTGTATAGAACGAATAGGCATTACCAATACCATGTGTGGGAATTCATTTCCTCCTGCCACAATCTTACATCCTTGGGCGTCAAGGCAACTCATTACCTGGACCTGCGGAACCTCACACAGGAAAGCTATTCTCGGCTTCATGGTCTGAAGGAACTCTATCTTTCTCGTGTTTACGTGGATATGAAATCCATATTACGGCTGCTACTGCCCAAGGAATGGGACAAGACGACACCGGCGAGCCTACAAAATCTCACTCTCGCAGATGTGAAGATGCATCCAGACGGCGGTACTTGGTGTCAAGTAATGCAATTCCTCTCGGATCATTGTGCCAATCTCGACTATTTGTCGCTGTCAAGGCTTTCCTACTTTTGTGATCACCCGAGAGCCTGCCCTCGAGATCAAATGCATCGGAAGCCTGCAGAAATCATCGCAACGCGGAATGAGGAGGACATTGAGTCGGCCCGCAGGATTGTAGAACGGTTTCTACGGCGGGAGGGAGGCATATTAAACTACCCCGACGTTTATTTGCATATGGCAGTTGAATTGGGATATGACGAATACAACTGTGAATGGGGCAAAATCTGAAAAAGGATGGGCTGATGCGGTCAAGTGATGCTGGCCTACGAAGACCGGATTGAAGTCCGAGTGACGGACCAGGTGTAGCCGAGGTAACCCTTACAGTTCCCCATTCTGCCCGTTTCAAATAAAATATTGCAAAGCTCATTTTCAAATGGTCTGTTTTGGGTGACTTACATTAGAAATGAAAATTTACCTGGGATGTCGATGTCCGGCCAAGTCTACCCAATTGCAGCCATCAACCTTGTACCCCAAGATAGCATTGGTCTTAATCATTGGACACATGTTCTTCTCCATTCCAAACTCCGATCCAACTAGAACTGTCATATCTCTGAGTCAAGGACGGTCACGTCGTGATCGAGCCCAAATCTCCTGTTCGAACGCGTCGCCCCAGCTTCCACCCACTAATAAGCAGCTACGAGTCACCGCCAGGGTGTTCTGAAGCCCGTCGCTATCCACTCTTCCAGGTGTCCTTGCTTTAGCTTACTGACAAGTCGTCCGGAACAGCGGTAGATCCATGCGATCCATGCACGCAGATCGCGTGGGAAGCTGTCGTCCAATGGTTGCTTCACCTACTTGTCATCCAAAAAAAGACACTCTCGCCTTGGATTGGTGCCCAACACGGGATATATTCCACTGCCGTTCACCGCCTCGTAACGAATTTTTTTATCCTCTCTTTTAATTTCTGTTCTTCAATTGATATCATTTCTGACTTTGACGAGCGATAAGACTAACGTTTAACGCCTACGACAAGCGTGGCACATACCGTTTGCTGACTGGGGAACGAACACCGCCATGTCGATTTTACTCGACCCGAAGAAACCAAATGTGGAGTAAGTATTGTTGAATCTCTTCAGCACGGGATATGAAACTCATCGTATGAACAGTATTGTCCTCGTCCACGGTGTCAACGTTTGGGGCAAGGAGAAACACGCTGCCGATACCTGGACATGCGACACACCAGACGGCAGAGTGCATTGGGTAAGAGATTTTCTTCCCATCTACGAAGAAACCTCTCGCGCCCGTGTCCTTGCCCACGAGTACGATGCCTCCGCCGTCTGGGGGACGGGGCCAAGGGCCGTCGGAGCCGAAGCTGACAGGCTGTTGGATTGGCTGCATGTTCAACGCAAGGTATGTTCTTCCTCCTTCTCGCGTGAGAGCGTGCTACAGAATTCCTTTACTTACCCTACTAGGGTTGTGCGGCGAGACCTATCATCTTTCTGGCTCACAGCCTTGGAGGTCTCTTAGTGAAAGCGGTAAGTTTCGAGCTCTCCCTTACAACGTGAGCTGGCGTCCGGAAGCTAATTTTCCTTTTCACTGCGAGTAGGCCCTGGTACGAGCCAAGAGGAGTAGTGGCAAGTCATCGACGATATGGTATTTCACCACTGGTATCATGTTCTTCGGGACGCCGCATCGTGGTGTCGACAGCAACGTCCACGGCAAAGTCGCCAACCTCTTCCAGACCCTCAACGCAGACCGTCCCGACACGAACTTCTTGACAGCCATGGATGCTTATGCCCCAGAGATTGATCGACTTTACGACCGGTTCAGTGAGATGTATGGAAGGTATCAGATCGTTACTGTGTATGAAACAAAGCCGCACAAGATCAAGCCATTGGGGGTGGTAAGTGAGAGTTGATTGCTCTTATAGATTTGTGAGCTAATTATGTGATTAGATTGTTCCCAGAAATTCAGCCGTTCTTGGCTTACCGGACGGTCATGAAACACGCATCGCCCTTGACCGTGACCACACCAACATCTGCAAGTTTGCCTCTGACAGAGAACACGAATTCCAGGCCGTCTTTGCAAACTTCGTCCTTCTCTGCCAAGAGGCAACGACGGCTTTCAAGACACCAGGAGAGCCTGAACCGGTTCCCGTCATCCCTGTCATCAATAATTATCCACCTGGTAAGTAAACCAATTCGGGGCGAGAAAAGAACTGGAAAATAGACACATTGAAGTTCTGAACTGACAGAACCGTTAGAACCCGAGGCGAGTATGTCATTCGAACAAGCACTACTCGAGGCCCGAGCCTTCCTCAACTCGAAGCGGACCGGATCCGCCTTGAGAACAGTCGACGAAGAGATTCGAAAGCGCCAGTCTTCGACAAACGGGAGTGCTATGAATCTCGTACCTCAGATCACTCTGGTTATGCCTGTTTTGTCTTCACTCGTGAAGCTTGGCCTCACTTTTGGAGCCTATTTGATGCCAACACTAAAAAGCACCATCAGTATGATCGTAGGTGGGTTGGATGACATCGAAACGGATCAGGAACAAATCTACCACCTCACGAGGTTGAGCCTCTCCATCATGAGCGACGGTGTGCGGGATAGCAAACGAATAAAGAAGAAGCTGGAGAAGCACCTCTCCAGTGAACTGGGAGACTCTGCGCAGAAGACCGAGGCACAAAGGCTCATCACTGGGTTGGACGCGTACACCCAGCTGTGGACGAGGGAAATCAGAAACCGACAGCCACAAATGGAGGAGGCGTATAGAAGGGTGCAAGAGACCGAGGACTTCAAATCGGAGTTTGAGCGTGCGCAGGACGAATCGGAGGAGTCTTTCTTGGAATGGCTCGTCCTCCTGATCCCTAGACTTTTGGTCTGGCTTCAGGCGCTGATCATCGAGATGGGAGTATTCCTTGGTCGATCTTTATCTTCATTGTGGACTTGACAGAACTAAGAGCCTTGGAGATTTTTCTTTTGTTTGCATATTTCTTATCCATTGTTTAGTTTTCAGTCACATGCATGTGGTCATTCTCATAAGAGTGATTCACCAACAAATGAACTTTCGATTAGAGCGCTTCAGCTTTTACACCCAATACTATGTCAAATTGATCTGTATGCCTTCAACATTTGTCGCTCGTCACTTTGAAAAGATTCTGCTTTGAACAGCAACCCTATAAATTACTCTTTATTATTTAGGCGGTGATTAGCTGTACTTGTGATGTATGGCTGACTAGTAGCGTGAGTGAGGCGAGAAACCGGCTTGGATTGTACATACCCAAATGACGGATATCATGACATGAACAGCATCTGGGCGTCGCTACCACTAACCTCTCACAGATGTGAAGTCTTCTCCTTCGCAGGTCCTTTACCCCTTTGGCTGAGAACAGCCCCGCCGTCGATCTCAAACACATTACCCGTCATATGCGCGCCTCCCTTGCTGGCAACAAACAGCACAAGCCCGGCGAAGTCTTCAGGCTTTCCAACCCTTCCACTCGGCTGATTATCATACAGCGTCTTGGTAGATGCGCGCAGGCCATAAGACGACATGCGGCTAGGGAAAACGCCCGGCGCGATGCAGTTGACCGTCACATGCTCCGGCATCAGCTTGGAGGCTAGCTGCTTGGAGAGGTGAATACATGCCGCCTTGCTGGGGCCGTAGCTAAAGACGCCGGTTCCGGGAGGGGACAGGCCGCCGTCCTCGCCAGAGGTGGAATCAGCCGTGGAAATACCAGCCATGCTGGCGATGTTGATGACGCGGCTGGGCTCGTCGGCTGTTGCGCCTTTGATGAGCTGGTGGTGCAGACCGACCGTCACGTAGAAGATGGCCTTTACGTTGAGGGCCATGAGCTTATCCCAGCCGGATTCAGGGAAGTCGAAGTAATCTCCTCCCCTAGAAAGAGTCAAATGGTCAGCTCATTGCTTGACTAAACCTGCCTGGTTTTGATGACTCACCACGTTGCGCCCGAATTGTTGATGAGAACGGTCAGTCTGTCAGTGCGCTTCTTGACCTCGGCAACCAGAGCGTCGCACCCGGCCTTGTCCTTGAGGTCGGCGACGATGTATTCGCACTTGCCCGGGCCCAGTGCGTTAAGACGCGCGGTGGCCGTTTCCAGGTCCTTTTGCTTGCGGCTGGCGATGATGACGCGCGCGCCGTTCTGGATGAAGCCCTGGGCTGCCATCTCGCCCAGGCCAGAGGCGCCGCCCGTGACGAGCACGACGTGGTGGCTGGCATTGAACAGGTTGCCGACCGTGAGGTCGACGTTTGACGACAGATGGGCCATTGCGAGCGAGATTATGTGAGCTGGATTATTGGTTGTTGTTTGGGGAGAAAACAGATCGCAGTCATGATATCCAGATACTAATAATAACTAACACACGGACCAATTGTCAGGATTCAGGTAGACCCCGAAGGCTTGATGCGGGGTTGCCGAGGTACATTATAATGCCTGTCCAAGGAAAAGGGGGCGAATCATGTACAAATTAGATCCAGGCTGGCCAAAGATACAGGTTAACCAAGGCAACGTCTCCAATCCTCCCAGTTCGTCCATATGTCCAAATTCGAGACAGTCAGTTGAGGGAGGGCGAGACTTTTATTGTGTGTACCTAGTCAACTGACCGCTCCTCTGCCGACAGCAGTGAGCCCACCGGCTTACACCTCATCTCTCACCTCGACATCCAATCCCTACCGTGTCGAATTCTGCCAAATGCTTCTCTAAGGCCTCATGGTTGTAATTCTGTCGATCGCTGGCCGCTTGAGTTGTCATGTCTAGACCTGGGAAAGGATATAGACGTAGAAAGCGAGGTTGCGGTAACATGTGGAGCCGAGGAACCAGTCCTTAAGCTCGTCATACCCAAAGGATTAAAAAATTATCAAGGATGACCGAACAATAGGTGGCGCTTCTGAGTAATCTAGACAGCAGTGATAAGTTGCGTATATTCCCTTGGTAGGGGCAGCAGCTTGCTTTGTGCTGCGCTGAGAAGGTTTGAGCAGATTAAGAACGTATGGGGCCGCCGCATAAGCACAAAAGCAACTCATTTCATTGGGGGACAGATGATCATGATCAACATACGTGCCAACTTCATATCCAGAATCAATCCATCGAGAAAAGGTTGATTTCTTGCCGAATAGCGGTACCGAGATTTTGTTTCCTCGCACGCAGTCTGAAGACTCAAGCATCGACCATCCGTCCAGCGAGCGAGGCTCCTTAGCTCAATAGCACATTGAGAGGAGAACGATTGATATCGATTCAGCCATCAGCATGAGCCCCATGGCCGAGCACGATTCCATCTCGCGATACCACTCTGGCACCCAACATCAAGAGAGTTCTCGGCAGACATTGCCTAGGCTGAGGCACCTCGGGCTCCCTTCATTTGACGAATTCAGCTCCTTTCAAGAACCGCAGCATCTAGAGTTCAACAAGAAGGAGAAATCACAGATACGGCAAGAGCAAAATCGCCATGCACAACGAGCATCTCGTCAGAGACGAGCCGCTCGAGCCATAGACCTAGAAGAACAGCTTCAGCGTCAAGACGAGGAGCACGAAGAAGGGCAGCGGGAGATGAATGAGACCATCAATCAGCTGGAGTTAGAGCTCGAATCGGCGAAAGCGAAAAGCAAATTACTGGAAGAAATGTTGGAACGAGAGCGCAAGGATAGGCTCGAGGTCGAGAAGCAAATCGGCGCCATGGCAGTGCCACGGCATATATCGCCCCAATCGTCCTGTCGAAGTCGCTCGGCTTCCGAGAATCGCCCTAGCCGAGAAAGCAGCGACAGCGGATAGTATGACGAGGCTGGGTTATGGTATTGATTCGAGGTTTTGTTTTTCAGACTGCATAACATGTGGAATTTTACTTTACCAAGTCTCTATATTCGTGAAGGCTTGGTAGGCTATCGAAAATGACAACTCTAAGTAATTCGCCAACTCCATACGTGATCCCCTCTCTCTCTGTTGTAGCTCATCTGCCTTGATTTGTTCGAGAGCGCTTTATTCTTTCGCAGCTTAAGATGCGCAATTTAAAACTTGCAAGTTACCCTTAACAGGATGTGCCTCGCATTGAGATGTGTAAGGTGTCTTCCGTCTATGTTCTTCGAGCCACACCACCAAAACGTGTCGTATCTGAGCGAATTCACTCTGCCAAAACCAAGCCGGATGAGATTGGCTTCTACCGCTGCATTTCAATATCTGCAAATGCAAATCATAATGAAGCAAATTCACGAGTCTCCGCGCTCGCATAAATTTCCAGTAATCGAATTGTTCATTATTTTTGCAATGAATTGTAACTCGTAACACCCAAGAAATGCGGTGCAGTCGCACAGGAAGCCGCTCCATCCTCAATGCAGGAAAATCAAAGGAGACATGAATTAAAATTTGAACGCCTTAATCCTATTCCCGATGCAAGCAATTTACTTCTGCCATACAGCAAGGGTCTCCGACTTGTCGAGGCCAACCTTCTCCCCAGGATACACCTCCAAGACGCGCCTCCAGCCATAGTACCCGGCGAAGCAAGGCTCGTAATTCACCCAGTCGTCGGTCGGTCCAAGCCAAACGACGGTTCCGATGTTGAGCCCGGCCTCGACGATGCCCCTGATGTGCTGCGACACAATGTCGGGGTGATGCGGGTACACGAACATCAGGGCTGACACGTCCGGGTCCTGGAGTCGCGGGGTAACGTCAGATGCGCTGGGGATCTTGGAGAGGGCCGTCTCGGGCAGGTATTTGTTAGGGGAGCTGGCCAGCTCCGTCTCCACCTGGACGCCCTCCACTGTGATCCTGGGCTCATTGCCGGGGGGTGTGCGCGCCTTGAGAGTGTCTGCCAGCAGGCGTTCGACGAGTCCCGAGCGGCTGCCAATGGAGAGGACGAGGTAGTGGTCGCAGTGGCGGCAGTTTGTGGGCGCCATGATGTCGGCCAGGCCATCGAGGAACTTGGTGGAAAGACTGAGGGGTGAGTCCTCGTGGCGGATAGGAGTCTCGCTCAGGTTCAGAGTCGGCAGCTCCATGGTGAGTGGATTGTGGGCCTGTGTACGCTTGGTGGGCGAATCAACCTTGGTGATGCTGAGGGCGAAGGTCTCAATGTCAAAGAAGATGGAGAAGTTTGGGGAGAATAGATGGCTAGACAAGATATCGGAGAGGTTCGGCGAGGGCACATCTATATGAACGAATAGCCCGTCCGTAGCTACCACCCCCTTTGTAAGGAATTACCTGAATCTCACATAACGTTCGATAATCGAAGCCCCGTTACTGGTCAGCGAGCTCACTAAAACAGTAATAAAAGGCTAGGGGTTCGATGGGGAAGAGACTAGACCGGGCCGGCCGGTCCAGTTTTCTGGGTCAGTCGGTCCAAGGCAAGCTGGATCTGATCTCGTCTTGCCCAGAGAGTTTGCCGATACCGCAACACTGAACCTCGAGCGAAGACGTTGGCGGCAACGGCCGAACTGCATGGGGCGATGAACACTCGTTGAGATTAGCGAGACGGCACACTGGCGTTCGTCTACTGGCGGTGATTCAGAACGGCACGTGCCTGTTAACTGTCATTGGCAAAACCCCACAGTTCTGTGTCAATGAGCATTAAAAAGGCAGAACGAAACTTTCCGTCGACCCGGCTCATGCCTAGCCTAACTGGGGAATTCCCCTTCCCCTCCCCCCGTTATTGGATCTGTAGTTCCCGACGAAAACTCTTCACGGCCGCCCCTCTGGCTTCGGATGGACATATTTGCTTGGCTATCGATCCATTGATTCAATGCAGTTGGACGGCCGTGCCATAACACGCCCCGCTTTCCAACAGTATCACATACGTGTACACCCGCGCGACACTAGACCGTGGGGGACCGTAGGTTATTCAGTGATGACAATGGGATTGTCAGCTGCATGTGGGGGAGCACGGAAGCTTGTCGGGGCATTCCGGAGGCCACTGACTCGAACAGACCGCCGGTTTGTAGCTTGAACGCAGAGACGAGCCAAGCCAATGGTACTGATGGGGCCTCTGAATGCAGGCTTATGGGGCTGGAGAAGAAGGCAAGGCCGACCGATCGATCAAGGCCCAGAATAGCTCGTATTGCTGGTCTTCTTACCCGGGACCGTGATCTGTCGCCACACCGGCCGCCGTCCGGTTTATACCACCCATCGGTTTCCGGCCGGCGTATTAGAAAACAACGATCCTTCATTGGCTAAGACTAAATTCATAAGTAATTGGGTAATTTTACGTATAGGAAGATCGTTATTTGATCGAGTCCATCCTATAGCATACCCAATTGCACCACATTAACCATTACTAAAGCCGAAAATCACAATCAACAAACCGACTAATTTCTAAAAATCGCACTATTTTCACGTTCCTAATACGGTATTACTTGGAGACGAGGAAGGAACTTGTATTATTAGTTGAATACTAGTCCTATCTCTATGGAACAGAAACTTATCTAGTCTTAGATATCGCGAACCCCCAACTAGGATCATATATGTAGGAGTGCAAAAATTCATAAACCGTGAATAATATACGCGAGTTAAAAAAAGATAGCGTTACTTAAATCCTTAGGGATGAAGGTGCATTGGAACAATAAGAGCAGATTTACGTAGATCCAAGAGATGATAAGATCAATAATATCGTTTGGGGAAAAATAAAAAGAATAGCGGGCTCACAAACAGAACATTGAGCCGTTTATATTTTTGATTCATTATTTACGTTTGAACAGAGTCTAGTGACATCCGCGGTCTTTGTAGTCTATTAGTGGTTACCTTAAATGAATTACATGAACACTTACCATGGAGCCTGATGCTTCACAAACCTAGGGCTTATTCTGTCGCTCGCCAATTTTCTCTGTTGCGAAGAAAGGTATTCCCCGATGTTTGATTCCATAGCTAAGTCTATTATCGTATTACACGGTTACTTAGCTAGACAGAGCTAGAATCATGCAGGACTTAATGTACTTTTCGACCTATAGAAGCCCGTCCCAAAAACCGCGGAACAGATCAAAAGGCAAAGGAGGTAGACGAGAGTGCCAAGAAATTAAGGGAGAAATACGATGTGCCTTTGGATGACTATCGAGAGAACATCGTGCAGAAAACTCTTTCCTTTCAAACTTCGCCCTTTCCCCTCAACCACTTTCCTTCAAATTTCACCAGTTCACCCACCCACCTCATCTGTCTAACAGACTTCGTATTTTTCTCTACAAGGTCCTTTCTTCCTAGATTCTATCTTCGTTTTTAATAAAGACCCTCTCCTTCTTTCGAAAATTCGCCTCCCGAAACAACCTCTTTCCCCTTCGACCCGAGTACCTCCAGAGAAACCAGTAGGTCTTTCTTTCTACCGGGTAAAAACAAGGAAGAAACGGCGAGCTCTTGAAGGGTAATACTAGTATCATGTATATCAATATCTCACCAAACCCGTTCAGGGTCGATCCAAACAACTTAACAGCGTCATATTCACGCAAGGTCGGCGACAGGACCGACGTACCAGAAACCTCTAAAGACTCATCTGGTACTACAAAGAAGGGAAAGACAAGATTGGACGCCTACAAGACAGACAATCCAGACTTCGCCACAGAGGATAGCGGAAGTGCCACTTAGCCGAACCGAAAGGCCACGGAAAGTCGCGACAGCCAGCATCCGCGCATATCATGAGTGCGCTCGTTTTATGACGAGTACGGACCAGGAGGAAGCTGCAACAGAACTCAAGAAATTTGTGTTCTCCAATATCGGGAATCCGATACAACATCGTGTCACCCGACGAACAAACGTCAATAACAAAGTCAACCTGTGGATAATGGATTGTCTTTTCCCACCGTTCTTGAGAACTTTAGGGCCAAATACGCGGACACCATCTCAATGCTGCGTTATGGGTATCGCTTCCCATACCCGGCATTCCGCATAGCCAAAGCGGTCAGTGGCTACGACGCGCCTCATCCTAAGGAAATTAATTGGGCTGAGTACAAGATCTGGATCTTTATATAATGAGGGATGTATCCAAAGTGTAGGACGTGTTGATTTATGTTGTACTGATTTATCTCTGATGTCTACACTAAAGTTGCGCCTCTTAATTCTAGACAAAATTCACTTGACGCCATTACTTCTGTTGCTCGAATGGCGAAATTAAGGGCCAGTTGAGCGACCCTCAACTGGAATCAAGTGCTGGCAACGTGGTTCACACGTTGCCGTATTCGTGACTTGGTAGTGACCGTTCTGCCTTTCTCTTAAGCGTCCTAGAGATTCTCTAGGACATCTAAGGTGTAGTCATTAAGTAATAAATAATGATATCATTTCTTCTATGCGTGCATGGTTGCCGTGCTAAGTTCTAACTGTCGGGTCTGGCTCTTGCCCTCAATCCGGCTTGTAGAGAATCAGCAGATAGAGCACCCAATCAAATTAATCAATCAAAAAGGGAACACTCATTTGAGATGAATGGTAAGAGTTTTCCATCGGGCATCATTTTGTCTGGGAAAGATATCCATTCTCACCGCCAGTTGATCACATGACACCATTACTGAGTACAGCGGAAATAATCTTTCTTTGGAAGAATCTCATAGAATGGGTTATTTTGACATACACACACGGTATTTTCAGCATTCATAATGCATATTCCATCCTGCCACGCATGGCGGTGGTCGAGTCATTCGCCATGTCGTGCTGGTTCGGGCAGGCGTCCTCGTGTTTCACTACTGATGAAGTGCTCTGGCGCCGACAGAAACATCACCGCTTAGAAATGAATCCAAAATTTTAGAACAAGAGGGTTCATTGCTGAAGATCATGTACAAATTTGACTGACTTTGAGTTTTCGAAAAAAACACGCTTTGTGATAAGCTTGGTTTCAACAATCACAAGCCTTGGCATTCAATAAGCTGACGTCTTGTTTCCCGGTGGAACAATGTGAATGCGTCAGCTGACAGGACCAATTGAGGGGTTTTGGAGAACAAATTGCACATTTCACGCCTGGAATGTATTGTTGTCTCATGGCCGCAGCTGAAACTGAACACAAGCGGTGGGCGGTGGCTATAGGCCAGACCTTCAGTGGCCAATCAGTGAGGGTTGCAGCCTAATGAACCGCTGCTTACTTTGCCCCTCCTGCACCGAAATGAAGCAGCTATTTTCTCCCTTTCGCATCTATCTATGATCCATCTACGATCCATCCATAATCCATCCCTGTTCGACTCACCCACTCAGGCTATTTCATCATTTGTTCACCAACTAAGGAAGACCCGTCACGTGTCATGCAGTGGTGGAAATGTCGGCTACGGAGCAAGCACTCAGGCTGCCCGAGCTGCTGCTGGCGGTCTTCGAGCTGATGGTGAGCGACCGCAGCTTGGTGCCTACAACCCAAGTAAATCGGGCCTGGTTCGACTGCGCCACGAGTATCCTGTGGAGAAAAGTTTACTCCCGTGTGCTTTATCGCGTGGCAGAGCATCGGCGCCAGATCTACGCCTCCAAGATTGAGAGGTTGGAGTTCGATGGCGAGGAGGCCCATATCCACGAAGCCTTCCAAGGTCTTCAGTTTAACCATCTAAAAACAGTCACTCTGGATCTCTTCAATCCTCCGAAAGGCGGTTCCACTTGTCTTCGACAGTATATCCAGCCGACTCTGCAGACCTTCAATTTCTGCGGTGGCGATCTCGACGATGAGTTTCTCCTCCAGATGAAGGCTACCTGTTCGCGTCTTCGGGCCGTCACCATCAATCTCCCTGGACCTCGTGTGACGCCATCTGCCTTCTTAGGCTTCATATCGGGGTTAGAATGCCTTGAGGATGTGAACCTCAACGACATGGAAGGCCTCCTCTCTGATGCCATGTTCCTCGACCTGGCTGGGAGGAGCAATCTTCTTCGTCTCAGTTGGGGAACATCGATTCCGCCGAGACTGATCACTCGGACCTCCAACGAAACAGTTGCTCCGTTCAAGAGCGTCCGCAAGTTGACGACATCGGTGTCTACTTCTTCCGTCGCGTGGATCTCACAAAACATGGTTCATCTGACGCATCTCATTCTGAAGCTCGAGGATTACAAGGAAGATGTATTGAAACCTCTACCGAAGCTGCCAAATTTGAAGCGTCTCAGGTTTTCATTCGAGCCGCGGACCGTACTGTCGACGGAAAGCTTGGTGGCTCTACGATCACTCAACAAGCTGGAGACGCTCGATCTGGCATCTAAGAGTAGAGGCATGAAAGTCTATAATGCGCGCGGCGGCACGTTCCAAAATCCCGACTTTGAGAATCTCATCTCCGGCCTGCCACTGTTGCGACAGTTGTCATTGGTGATCGAGGCACAATTATCCGTCAGAGCGGGCGCGATTCTTGCGAAGCACTGTCCCTTGATTGAAGAATGCAATATTTTGAAAAACTTTGATACTCGGTTACTCATGGCCCTGGCCCCCGAGGACAAGCCCATGTTTCCGTTTCTGCAGAGGTTGAATGTCCGCAGGGCTACATTCGACCGCCATGAAGAGCCTCAAACTCTCGAGTAAGTACTGCAGTATCTCACCACCTACACAACTATGTTCTTCGAGACTAATGAGCGAGATACTAGACAATCTGCCAACAACCTAATTGCTCTCATTAGGAAAAATTGTCCTAATTTAAAAATGGTCGTCCCGAGTTTGCATAATCCGTACTCGAATCTCGTTGCCCGAAGGTTTGATAGCCTCAACCAGCCGACCCTCAACCAGCCGGCGGAACCATTCCCGGAACCACTTGTGTAATGAGTTCAGGCATCTATGATGTTAGTAATCGATTAAGACACCAATTCTGTCGATTGTCAAAGTGAAGAGCGTTTCGTTAGAGTTGTTAGAAATGGATATGTTGGCGAACCCAGCGGCCCATTTCTTTAGACAACCGGTGAAGGATATTAGTTATTCGGGAACCAATCAGGCATTTGTGGTATTGATGGAACTTCGGGACTTAGCAATTTCTTCAGCAGTCTGTCTCCGATATCGAAGTTGTAATATTTCTATTATAGGCAGGCTGTGAGCATGATACTGGGGAATCATGGATAATGATCTACTAGTCTGAATCTACGTATGTCGGGTCTGGCATCTTCTATTATTGCTCATCTTTATACTTGAACTCTCCTCCGTAGTTCTCAGCCCGTGCTCATTCTATCCACCATGCCTAAAACAAAACTTAACGAAAGCCCTAAAACGGGAAATAATAAATCGTCTCTTTGTTCTCCGTCAATACCACGAGTAACCTAACATATAGTATGTTTGTCCGAATCCAAATCTCGAGAATGAAACCTCTGCAAAAGACACCATAATAGAGTACTAATGGCTGTTGAATTGTGCATGTGTTGTCGAATAGAAGTCCACGCGTGGTTGCTTCGATAATCATCTCAAGTTACAAACATTTCGAGTCACTGAATAGTCCATCGCATATTTCAGAAACAACGATTCAATGTATACCGCAGTTTTGGTTTTACTTTCTTACCTTGGATTTAGAATTAAATCAACTTCCAATTGCTCCTACGGCCGGAGCCGTGTTGCACCAACTTCGGAGCACAAGGCCAGCTTGTAACGGATCCCGACATCTAATCTTCTTTGTGTTACTCTACGAATTTATGTGTGCGAATCATGGGATCTTGTAGGTATAAATTAAATATGCACGCCGCCGCAGAGAAAACTTACATACCACCAAAATCACAAAAACCGCTTCTCGATACAATTCAATATCACAGAAAAACCTGCCAAAATGAGCGCCAAAGACGAATTCAAAGACATGACATGTCTTTTAGGCAGTGTACTCCAAAAGGCGAAAGAAAACACTTTGCTGGAAGGGATACTTGAATCGACAGTCAAGCGCGTACACATTGAGTTTTCCGAGAGTGAAAACCAAATCAAGCCTCATGTTGTCTTGCGGCTTATACTCAACGAAGGGGTCATGGCTTTGCAGGACAAGGGCCGCTGGCAATCTGCCGGGAGCTGCATGTTCGATGCAAACAACCGACAGCAAGTTGAAGGCGCTGATTCGGGAGTTGTTTTTCGGGTTCACAAGGTCTTCGAGGGGCAGACGTGGCAGATTCACAGGGACAGCACGATCGCCTTCATTTACGACGTGGATCCTGTCCATACGGTCAAGGACTTCGTCAATGTTATACTTGGCAAATACAAGGGCCTTTCGGATGGACACAAGTCGAACCTGTCCTGGTTTATGCTTACCAGTGTGGATGAGCACACCCTAGATGGATGCCGCGATGTCGTGTGAGTATTACCCCAATAAGTTAGATATGAAACTTTTGCTCAATCGTTACTAATACTATGCTAGGACTCAATGGGTCATCAGACTTCATAGAATGGGATTCATGAATTGGATCGCTGATCGTGTCATGCTAGACGACAAGGAACAGTGCACAGTCTTCCCGCTAGAGTTCGACCAGTTCATTGCAAGGAGATTCAAGGACAGCCGGACCGGTTTGCAAAAGCTCAAGTCTACTGCCAAGGTCAAAATGACTGCCGATAAAATCCCCATGCGCTTCGGGCGTTTCCAAGACACGGCAGTCGCTCGCATCATCAAGTACGGCGAGTTTGAGCTTCCTTACAGTTACCCACCTGCAACGAGAACGGAAAAGCGGGAAGATTGTACCATAATTCCTAGTCCGAGCTCCGCAATGGGATGATTACAGAAGGGGTCTTCTAAATGCCGGAAAAGAAAAGCTGGTGGTTGATGGTTGATGATACGAGTTGACAGTGTTGAACTCAAGGATCTGGGATTTCCAGAGTGTGTTGGCGCTGTTTCGAGTAACGATGTTGCTCCCTTTCTAGATAGTGTACTTACAAGCGCAATGTCTTAAGTATATTGTTGGACTTCATTATGACCTTAGCGGTAGCTCTTTCATGTTTTTATGTCTACCAGTCATTCAAAAATGTTCACTTAACACCGGGATATTTGTAATTCAGTACCAATTCGAGTGCCTGTAGCTCTCTGAGAATCTTGCTCCCACGCGTAACGTGCCCAACACATTAAAATACCAGACCTACAAAGAATCTAATCATTTCAAGATATAGTAGAATTATGACCTGTCCACTAAATAGAAATTCTTAGCTCTTCCACCAAACGTCTCCAGCCTCCCTCCAGGTATTGGAGCCACAGTGTACCTCTCCCATTAGGAGATGGTGGGAGAACCAGTCATCTTGAAAGGTGACGTTGAAACCCACACTCTCATACAACTTGATGGCTTCATTAGCAAGAATGTCAACACCATCTATGACAGGGCCCCAGGGGTTTGGAGCAAGAACCTGGGAGTTACTCAACACCACGCCGTTCACCATTCCGGGATAGAAGGCAACCAGCTGGATAGTGGAACCTGCCTGTCGCTCTTGGACAGCCCCAGATGGTGTTCCCCAGTCGATAATGGACTTCGCCTTGGAAGAAGGTCCTCCCGAAATCGTGGAGACGGACGATTGAGCATTAGTATTGTTACAAGGCCAAGGATCGGAATTGGAGTCATAGAAAGTAGCCGGCATGCGTAGAATCTCCTCATTCGTGATGCCTGTCGCGTTCTTGATCCGTGCGATATTTCCCTCGATGAACTCGGCGGCCTGCTTCTGGTAGGATTCAAACAAGTTCAGCTTCAGTGCTTGGTCGATGGTGTTCGTGGGTAGACATTGGCGTGTCTCCCCCTCAAGAAGTCCGCGTGAGACGGCCTTTTCGCCGCCATGGCCGTCCTCGGAAGCCTTCTTCAACAGATTGAGACCTGCGAGCGGGTCATCAACAACGAGGACCCAGCCGCGCTCACTGTCTACAGGCAAGAACTGAAGAAATTCATCAACATGCCCGACAGCAAGCCACGAAGTGTCCAGGATCAGTGGGTCTTGTGACTCTTGGGCCTTAATGAAGCTTAGAATGCGTGGGGTTTCATCTTCAGAGGTACCCATGATGATGCGGCCTGCTGGGTAGCTCTTCCCGTCGTGAGTATATGGCGGGATAGTTTCTAGGTTACCGAAACTATCTCGAGTGCCTCCTTGTGCCAGCTGCTGTACGGCACCTACACCGTCCGAGCGGACGGCAGTGAAGACTTGCTCTCCGGCCGTACGGTAGCTTTGCGATGAACGTATCATTATTCTAAGAGAGATCGGTCCTTCGGGGCCCGGGATGCTGGAGTATCCAGGCTCGAAGAAGTCCTGGGTCCAGTGGTCGCTCGAAGATGTGAATTGGAACACGGGCTCGCTGATTCCAGCGTCAGCCACGTTCTTGGCCAGGTTCTTCACGAAGCGGGTTTGGTCGGGCCAGTCGATTGTTGGAAGGGTGGTGAGAACTTTCTGCGCGAGCTGGGCATGGTGATGGGTTAAGACGGGTGCCACGCGAATTGCCACAACATCTTCGGCACTTTCACCTCCATCAGAGACAGTGAACTTCACCTGCGCACGCCCATCCCAGTCCGAGCGACGGACATCGCGGGAATCGATACCGAGTTCCAGGCCGCCCTCAAGCTCGCTAGCACTGAACGTATAGTTGGAGGAAACATAACTCCAGGACTCGCCAGACTTGGAGAAGATGCGAGTCTTGGCAGCCGCAACTTCGTCGAGAACCTTGACAGTGCCGACTGCAGATGTGCTCAGTCCTGTGATCGGGAGGGTACGGAGAGGAGCCAGGTATTTTGGATTCCGGAGTTCATTGCCCTCAGCATCATTGCAAGTGTCGAAAGCACGGCTGCTCGCGCACCGTTTGTTGGTATCTCCAATGTTGGCGAGGAAGAGGGCGCCCCTATCTTCCGTCCAAGTGGCTTTGCCCTCAACGTCGGAGTTTCCCTCGACGTCAACGTGACCGTCCCTGTTAACATCGGCCAAGATTGTCGCGCTGAGGGCAGCTGCAGTCTGCGCCAGAGCTGCAAAGAAGTTAGCGATTCGCTCGGGATCTCCGGACGTGTATCTTACCTAGGCCAGCTATCGCCAGTTTGCGAGGGGAGTATGACATTTTCGTTAACTTCCTCGACCACCACGTTGAGATGATTGAAGTCCCCGTGTCTAACGGCAACGGAGGATGGCCTCATTTTATTGCTACGGCCTGCTCCTACTTTGACGGCAGACCCATGCCAAGAAAAGCAAAAGGACCCGGAATTGGCAGCTCAACACGGTTCACCTGCCAAAGGTGACGAAGCAATTGCTTATTCCATCCACCGCCGGCTTGGCAAAAGAACTCAGCCTCGCTGCATGGTCTAGAATAATCGCGTATAGAATGTTTGCCGTTTCACATTTGCTGGGATAAATTGGTAGATCATCCGCGTACCGGGTTGAATTAAGCTTGTCCACTCTGATGAGCCTACGAGTAAGCTTTAAATAGTGATCCGCCCTATCCAATTAGCCAAGCCAGATCGTATATTATTCGCCATTTTCTTTTACTAATTAGCGTATTATCATGATGAAGCAGATATTAGCATCCGGGACATCCGCTCGTTCAAGCGCGCAACCCGCGAGAACGTCGGATGCATTCAATCGAAACTCATTCATCAATCTAAGCAAAGGCTTGCAACCGCTATGTGTACAGAGTTTACTCATTTGAGAGCTTTCGTCAGTAGAGGGAGAAGACAGGATGTATTAGAAATTGCATACGCTTAACCCTGATATCCGGGCGATAGACGTGCCATAACATAAGCCAACTCCCTTCAGCACTGGGTGCTTGAATTTTTTGCCTGTTCATTGCTGAAAAACATCTTCTCTCGTGGCAATAGGACAGTACCTGCCACGGGCCTCGTAATCACAAAAAGTCAAGGGATAAGAAGCACGTCCCTCTCTCCTGTAATGGGGCAGCCGCGCGCGCCCATTGATCTGCGAGCGGTAGCCTGATTCAGACGGAATCCATCGGAACGAATAGGCATGATCCATCTCTGCATCAGCTAGATAGTCATACGCTCCAATATGTGGATTGGTGCCTTGGTTCGCGGGATGCCCGACTGGCTCCAGGGATTGGATCAAAGCTCTAGGTCTAAGAGAATTGGCAAGTATACGTAGCCTCACTCTCAATACATTTAAGTTATCTATTTAAGTTGATACAGTCTTTTCTCTCTGGTTAAAAGCTGGGCAGTAGGTAGAATGATTTAACTAAACAGTACATTGATAATAAGTAGCCCTGCTTCAATAATTTATTATGCATTTGAAGCATCTTCGATCCAGTGCTGGATCACGCAGCAACACCCATAAACTTCTTAGAGAGTGCGTCAGGGTCAATCTTTGATGCTGCAACAGCCTGAAGGGCCGGGCTTGATTCAGAAGGCAGAGGTACACCAAGTGGTAGGAGCATCTTGAAGAGGAAGGGGCTAAGATACGGGGTCTGTCTAGCTTCATCAGTGGCGATTTCGGGCTTGATGGTGATGTTGTCGATCTTGGAAACTCTGGTCAGTGAAACTGATCTATTCAGACGCCGAGCTTCAGTAATAGCTCACCTCTTGGATGATGCGGTTCATCATGAAACGGCACTTGAGGCGCGCCTCCTCCAGACCTACAATAGTAGGGGCAAAGGGTTCATTGATTGAGGGTGGTGGAAGAGTAACCACCTTCTGTGGAAGGCTGGAAGGACTGATGACTTCAGCCACACTGCCTTCAACCGACTCAGACTCAACAGCAGGCTTTGGAGCTGGCGCTTCTTCCTCCGCTGCCGCGGCTTTCTCGGTAATTGCTTTGGCATGTTCGACTACGATGATGTCAGTATCTCTCGGGTCGGGGCGTATTGCTGCCCATACCGGCTTTGTTACCCCTTGGATTTATAACAAGGGCCTTTGTCCCCTCCGAGACGTCATAAGCAAGAACTTGGATTGAGGCGAGAATTGACTTGTAGTCGAGGTAGGCTTCCTGGAGAACATTGGTATATGTCCCTGTCTTGTCATAAATAGGCAGGTCGAAAGTCTGGCTTGTGTAAAAGCTCCTGAGGGCCGTGTACTTGGTGAGCAATGCATGGGTGCGCATAGGCGTCTTGGCACATAGATCAGGGAACTTTAAGGCGACGGCCTTCATTGTGTCAAAGTCCCAGTCCCTGGTAGCTTGATTCAATACCGTATCAGCTGACAAGAACTTCATTATGATGAACGCCTGGGCGGCATACCTTCTTTGAGCTGTTGACCGCCACCGGTCCAAGTTACGGAGACTGAGACCTCGTTCTCATCTGCTAAGTGCTTCTTGATGTTGTCAAACTTGGCGCTGATATCCAGTGATAGCTCCTTGCTAGTAGACCCAGGAGGTGGATTCTTATTTTGAGAGAAAGCAACTCGAGCACTGGAGTGGCATATCAATGAGATGAAAGGTACAGAAGAATTGAGAGATCAGTGACATACTCAGCAGCAATAGTCTGGGCTTCGTCTCGGTTCTTGGCTTCAATACTAATTACAGCCAAGAACTCGCCACCCTCCTGCCAGCCTGAGATGAAGGAATCTCCATAGATTTCAATTAGGCGCTGCGGTGATGCCTCCTTCATATTGGGAACGGGCTGGAACTTGGTGAGGGAATAGTCATCGATGGTTTGGTTGACCACCTTGACAGAAACCATGATACTGACATCACTGTCTTTGATCTTGTTGGTGTTGACAAAGTTTCCACTGCCATCAACGGTCAACTGATCATATTTAATGTTGAACGCACCATTGATCTGTCATCGGGGGACGTTTGTTAGCAGGCTGCAGTCCATGGGAACCATCATACTAACTTTCATCTCGTCAGTGACATCGGTCGTTTTCTCGATGACACATGTTTTGTAAGTCACGGACTGTGCCACTTGTTTGGGTTCTTCGTCCTCCTTTTCAAGCTTAGCTGCTATATCCACATCTCGAATAACAGCATGATCAACACATGGAGTCTGGGTAAATGAGTTAAAGCCAGAGCCAAGCTGCATGGCAGTGTTGTAAGGAACAATCTGGGTGGCCATTATGGGAGAAATTAATAAACAAGTGTTTGTGTGAAGAGTTGGGAAAGCTGAGAGGATTGTGGTTCGAGTTTTGGGCGCAATTTGAACAGCTCTTGTAAAAAGTCCGGAGCGGAAGAAGAATTTCTGCTAGCCGATGGACGATGCGTTCAAAATCAGACTGAGCCCAGAAATCCGACCTGGCGACGGTGCCGTGTGTCGAGACCCTTCAACATGTGAGATATCATTACAGTCAAGGGTCTTAGATGGCTGACCACACTTCAAACAACGGTTCAGCTTGCATCAATAGTCTCGACAGGGGGTTGCGTGGAGCAGACTTCGGCTAGATGTGGAGGTGCAATGGAAGTGACTGCTGACTGCAGTAGTTTAATCTGTTCAAGCCAGCTCTTTGGGTGTTGTGAGGGGTATTGGCTGAGAGCCTGTCATGGTGGTATGCCCTAGGCTATGGTATACCAATAGTGTCAAACGAAAGGGATGTTCGTAAACAAAGATGTAAGCGAAAAATGTCGTCGATACAACCTCCTGCTGACAGCAGACCCGAGGTGGGCTGCATTCCAGGCAATAGAGCATGGTATTCTTATAATTTGCATTTTTGGCTTTCGGAGATTTTAATACACTTTGCCTTAAATATATTTGCCTGCTTATTCTGAAGGGGGATTATACTATCGCCTATTGTATCGTAGCGAAAGCAGAGATTGGTACTCTCGAAGCGAGGAATAGGGGGCAAGCAACAGCTCAGTGACAAGCCCACGGTCGCAGAGTCGATCTACAGAATCCTGATAGACTGCCCCATTCAGCCCTAGTGAAAACTCCTTGAACAGAACCTCGGACGCTCTATTACCGAGATTCATTGCCTTTTGTTTGTTATCAGAAGCTATGTACCCAGCGGTGAGACCGTCCTCCAGGTTATGGGCCGTGAAATTAGAGTAAAATGCCGTTAACGAATCGAAAGCGGCGACACTCAGGCCACCGCTGTTGCTCTTGGATTGATTTACATCATCGATAGATTTGTTATGTGTCAAAAAGAGTGCCTTGATCTTCAATTGCAGACGCGTCGCCTCGAAGAAGGACTTGTTAGCCATCTCGCCTGAGATGGTGGTGTTGTTCACAGCTCCCACCCTGAGACCTGCAACGTAGAAATCGCCGTACGCACGACGAAATTCATTGATTGGATCAGGAGAATCACTGAGCAGCCTAATTGCGCCCAGATCCAGCCTCGGTATATGTCCCAGATCAATCTGGCCGCATATGTGCTCAGCCCGAACGCTTATATTTGATTTCTGGACCAAAGTTAGCTTTGACCGGTTGCGTGAATAGCATATCGTAACTAACATTTTTATTCTCGCGTACGCTCTTCTCATAGCTTCCACGACCAGAGGCGCCCAAAAAGCTCCCGCCAACAGAGGCGCTGACGGCGAAGCTGGTGATTTCCGACTTACTCGCGATGTCGCTGGCGGACTCGTCTCGGATCGAGGTCAATTGACACTGACGGTAGTGAAGTGGAACGCTCTCTACATCCCAGAATGCCGACCGTGTTAGAAACAGAGCATCATTCTGGGAGCGCTGCGTATTGAAGCCAGTGCAGAGCTGAACTCTCCCCTTAGCCCATGGCACGGAAAAGGGGGCAAGTTGGGCGCCTGCGTACTTGACTGTAGTCTCCAAGGGATCTCCTGGAAAGACAGTTTCGATGTCCATATTTGCCTTTGCGATGCATAGCATTGAGTCTGAGGTTGGATTAGACAATATGGGGTAGGCATATAGGATATCGATCTCACAATACGAGATGGAGGGAGGGGCTTTGCTGTCCAGACCAGACCCTGGTCCCCCAGTTGTCATCTCGGATAACAAGCTATACACACCACCCCGGATTCTTCACACCATCACTTCCACGACTAGTGAAGTGTCCAGGTGGTAGCCACTAGGGCTGTACCGCCGCCGGGCTCGTAAGGGATGACAGAATGATCCGACATAGAGCTTATTCCTATTTTGTGGTTCGCTACAGACCTGACTGGTCTAGTCATGGGGCTGACAATGCAGCATCCTGCCGCCTCAGCCCTGAATACGCGCCAATATTTGCTCTAAGCGAACTGACCCTCTACCTCGTAGCTTCAGGGTCTAGAACATCATGTTTCCCTCGATGGCACCTCCTCGCTGATCTAGCTATCCTCGGCCACGACTTGGTAACCGAGTCTAGGGCTTGTACTCATCCAATGTCATAGATATCCAGGATCGTGCGAAGTCATTTGATTGCTATCGCTTTGACCATCACATATTCCGATTACTCTTCGCATTCCTCTGCATTACCATGGCTCTTATGCTCGCACCCTACAACAGCGCCATGCGCTTGGGCATGGGCTTCAATTCCTATACCCAGTCCCTCTGCGTCAATGATGTTGTTCGGAAGCCTGGAAGCGTACCAGCTACCGAAAATGACTTGCGAGCCGCAAAGTTGACTGGCAAGGCAGATGCTGCCAACACGTCACCCAAGCAACTGACTGCAGGCAGCTCGCAACAGCAATACCCTCAGGCTGTCCTAGATGGGGCCAATGGTAGTGTGACAAGAACCTTTACAGATGGACAAAAGGAAGTCAGTCAGGTCGTCACTTGGACTGCAGAATTCATTGAAAACAGCTCAGATGTACTCAAAAAGCTGGAAGTGAGCGGTACGATTGCACAACATTATCCTGCTCAACCTCGCTTATAGGTTGTACTGACAGTTGGAGTTAGGTGCACTGAGTATCAAAATGGCTGGTCTCGGTTCACTCTCTGGCAAGGCGTCGTTTGTTGACTCAAGCGACATCAGAACAGCTGATATAAATTACCTCATCCATGTCAAGGTTGTGAACCAACGTTTAATCGGTGATAATATCACAGAGTTCACCCCAATCCCGTACATCTCAGAGGGGCAATTCACTGAAATATATGGAGACTGCTTTGTCTCAGGGTTTATTGAGGGTGGTGAGTTTGACGCCATCGTTTCCATCACCACTGCCGATACCCTGAAGAAGATGCATATTGGCGGCGGACTTGAGCTGTCTGCAGTTATTAGCGGCATTGAAGTTTCGGGAAAGGTCGAGGGCGCAAAGGATGACAATTCAACACTGAAGAATGCCAAAACTAATATTAAGTGAGAATAAGGATGAATACGTGGAAAAGATGGCATGCTAACTTGCTCTCCCAGAGTCACCTGGTCTGGCGGTGGTGATATTCGAGATGACAACATCAAGGAATGGAACTTACAAACCTTGAAGGAGGTTGCTATGAGTTTTCCGGATGCTGTAGCAGCCTGTGAGTGAAGAGAAGACTTCCAACTTGCTATGCAGCAGGCTAATTTGATATATGCAGGTCCACAGAGAGTGAGGTAAGTGTTTAACTGAAACTTCAACACGTATGCTCTTTCTCATATTGAGTCCCAGCGCTATCTTGACCAAGTATACTTCTTTGCGAAGTTTCCATGAACAAATCAGAAAGGGGTCACCCCTGGATTATGAGAATGCTGGCGTTTATACGGCAGCTTTATATGATGCATATACTGTGAGTCGGTACACTTTGCACCTCCTTGAAGCCCTTAACTAAAGAAACACAGGACTACAAAATGATATGGGGCGAAATCCAGATTAGTACGTCGACCATGGGGCTGGAGAGACCATCAAGAGCTCATTGGCTGACTTGGCTTCAGTGATTCAGAAACTGAACTTGCAAGAGATTCAATTATACATTAGAGAAGCTTCTCCTAGCCTGAAAAGGTATGCTGCCATGATCGCCGAAACTCAACTGAAGAAAGAAGCAGCCTATAAAACTGCTATCGAGGAAAGGAAAGCCAATGAAGATTTAAATGCGTTGGTGCGCATGGCGGGAGGAAATCAGCAGCCCGCAAAGCCAATTGACAAGCCACTGCCAGCAAATGCTGTTCAACCTTACGATCCTGATGTATTTGGGTTGGAGGTCGCGGCTAGTGATTGCCGATTCGAGATGATCAAGATTGTTCGAGAGGTATGTTAGTCCTGTATCAGCGAGTGACGAGCGATGGATACTGATAGCCTTATAGGTGGACGCGGTCACAAGAGATCCCCAAGTGGCCTGTGATCCTTCCCGTACTGGTCAATATCTGAGCCCCAGCGTGTTTAGATTGCTCGTCCCAGTATGTCATACCTTTTCCTATGGACAGAAAAGATCTGAAAATGAAACTAACGGATTAGTCTACGAATGATATTCGTTTACCTACTCTGGAGGAATGGCAGGGTACACAGCAGGAGCTCAAGGACTCTCAGAAAGCGGCGAAAGAGAAGAGTGACCATATCAATGAACTGAAAAAGAAATTGGAAGCTACTCTAATTGTCAGAATCCCTGAGTTCATCTACCTCAAAAAGCATCGCTGACAGTATTGCAGACGCCCAGGAGACACGAGACCCAGGAAAATAGCAATCTTGTTGCTAATTCCGCCAATGACACTCCTGAGATGCACCCCAGTACCAGAAGTTCCGTATCACAACTCTCTTACAGGGCAGATGAGTACCGAATGCAGAGCTTATTGAAAGACAAGAACAGTATTTCAACTGGCGCTACATTCTTCAATGATTTGGAACATTTGGAGCCCGGTGCCAGGCCTAGCGAGCTGAGACTGTGGCGAACTGATAAAATCGAAGGCCTCAGTATCGTCTACACAACAAGCAAAGAAATATCTCACGGGAGGAGGGAGGGCAACCCTCAACATGTGCTGCAGCTTGAATACGACGAGGTCATTACCGAGCTCGAAGTATACATCTTCAAGGGCGACGAGAACAAGCTATCCGTCCAAGGCATGGCTGTGGCAACATCAAAGTGCAACATCCTTACAAGCGGTGCTAAAGCTGGTTGCACAGTCCACAGTTTCTCGCTGACAGATCTCCGCCAATGGTCATTCCGTGGATTCTTCGGCTTCACGTTTGACGATGGCTTTGAAGATTTGGGCATCGTCTGGGGCAAGGATATACTCAAGGTAGCTACTGCTACAGTCCAAGCACCCACAGCCAAAAATTTCCTTGGGCTGGGCCCGTCGCTTCAGGAAAAGACAAAGCAGGCCTTGTCTGGAACCAGTCCTGCGGAGCACTTCTACTTGGGCGATTGTGTCAGCACTGAATCTCAACCTACACCGACTGGAAGTAATAGCTTCAGTGCACTGGACACGATTGTTGGAACCTCAAAGATCACCAAGCTTTCTTTCAGCGCCTCGGCAGGTAGACTTAGCGGCCTCAAGGTTGAGTATAGCGACAGCAAGCAACTAGTCCATGGTGCCTATACCGAGGAGAGAGAAGTCTGGAACTGCCAGTTGAGGGGTCCTATCATCGCGGCCAAGGTGACCTCGGGTAAAACCCTGGCCGTACCTGAGCCGTTCATAGATACTGTTGAATTGGTCTGTGGCGATGAGACTGGCCAACTACCCTTGTGGCCACTGGATGTGTCTACAATTCGGTATCTTGGTGACCACACTGAAGAGGACAGACTGGAAGTTGTCTCTAAGCTGGTAGAGCAGGCACCAACCCTTAACCGCGCGAATTGGACTCTACGCGGCTTCTACGGCGAGGAGAGTGCCGGGCTGATTACTAGGTTAGGACTGATTTGGGGATGCGCATGAACACTAGATATACTTTGAAACTAAGTGATTTCGATGGAACAAGAATGCTTTTTTGTTATTGATTTCTAAAGCTTATAAAGTCAGTTTGCTGTTTTCTTCCGAAGACTGCTTCTGATGATCTGCGATAATCTATGGCCAACTAACTTGTGACGAGTCCCAGAATAATTGGCCTTGTATATCGTTCTAACACATATACTAATCATATATCCTCGGAATTGATGCCAAGATGGACTGGAGCTTGAGTGAGGCAATTGATATCCTACGATAAATGGGCGTCTGTGTGACGTGCCAATACGTGGACATTAGAATATCACACCCGAAGCCCGCCCAGCTCCTTGAGTTGGAGGTGGTGTGTTCATGGTCCACGAGCGAGGAAACGAGTTGGCGAGAGAATGATTAAGTTAGATACGCGAGGATGGTTGTTCAGCTCGCCTCTAGCGCTGATGGCTTACACACATCACGCTGCATGCTGCATGGTAAGATGGTAGCCTATATATTGGTTATACTAGCCAAACACAGCTCCTATATCACCCCAGCGAACTTGTCTTAACCGAGGGTGTGTACACGCCCTATCAGGCACAGGGTCTAGACCGTGTCTTCATGATCTATAGGTAGAGTCACCTTCTCCTGTGAAACTGCCTACTGAATACTTCCACCATACTCGATCTCTTCAATATATGTGAACTTTGGAATTGACCTTTCAATCAATCAAACTTGTCAAAATTCCTTTGATTGATCTAACCAGGCTGCCCAACTAATTGTCGCACTGTCATCAGTCCCAATGGCTCTGCTCTGTCAGCACGCCACCAATCTCAGCTTCAATACGGCCCCCATCGTCTTCAAGAATGACGATAACAATGTTTCCGCCCTCGAAAATGCGCGACTACAAAAGAAGCGTATGGAGGAAGCCGCTCATCTCCAGAAGCAGCAACTAAAGGACGCTGGTGCAAAGCTGCAGAAGCAGGCCGAGGACACGGAGGAAGTCATCAAGGAGCGAGACCATCTGCGTGACGAAAGTGAGCGCCTCGCTCAAGAAAACGCTGCAGCAAAAGGGCTACTTGATGCAATGAAAAGACAGAAAGATGAAGAGATCGCAGCTCTGTCGAGCAGGGTCGAACAGCGAGCAGCAGAAATAACGAGGCTGAATCAAATGATTTTCAGCAGCCGTGCTCCCAATATAGCTCGACAAGACAATTGCCTGCCTTTGGTGTATCATAACGCAACAGTCCACATTGTCAACGCGTTTTGCCCCCTAGGTCTAGATTCTGGATACCGTGAGAGCATCCCAAACACCTCTAATTACATCTTGCTAACCCATCAAATTATAGAGAATAGAACTAGGCTACACTGCTGGGAGTATTGCATAGGGATTGCGAATCAGACCTTCAAGTTGGAAAGAGTCAATAATGACATAACTCCTGAAGGATTCTGGACGATTAGCCGCACAGGCGACAACCGCAAGTATTCTTACAGCCGTGTGTCAAATTGGTGCTAACCCATCCAATGCAGAAAAGCTCTACTTCCCGACCAACGCGGTCGGGCTCGATGTCCACGTTGGCAATGCTGTCGGGAAACAAACTTATTGGTATATAGGCCGAGCGTCAAACAACCGCGTAGGCTCTTGGGTGTAAGTGACATAATACAACCTAAACAGAGTGTCACATACTGACTACAACAGAATCAAGAGTGCTGAATGGGGCACGCATATTCAGATGGGAAATGGTGGGAAGGAAAACGCGTACGAAAACTTCACAGCGACTTGATGACATACATAAAATCAAGCTAATCAGTGCGACTAGGCGACATGTTTATTCATACCCGGCCAGTGATCATGCAGATGCAAACTGGCTCATGGTTCCCTTGTCCTTCAACTAGGGTCCATGTGTTCGTTGAGTTTATGAGGCTCTCACTTGAGAAGCTTCCTCAGAGATGCCTCATTTTATTCAAATTAGAATATAATGATGCGAACAGCAGTGCAATGCGATTTTTCTCGGTTGTGATGAATTTAGTTTCAATTAATTTTTGGAAAGGGATATTTCATAATATAGGTATAATTGAAACTATACTTAGCGAGAAATATCAAAGTAGAATTGATGGTTGCTTATTTTCACTCTTAACAGCAGTCTATTCTAACGCTGATTATTGCGTATTGTTCATAAAATCATAACACTCGTCCTATCCTAGCGATTTCATTACCTCGTTTACCTCATATTATCTCCTCATCCGATATCCAGCAAGCTCTGCCTCTAAAAAGTCATTCGTTATGTTTGTCTCCTTTATTTGGTTACCCGAGTCTTTGATAATCAGCAATGTTGCAATATTGAGCGCCAATCCCGATACATAAGCCAGGGGAATGCTAACTGGTGGGCTCCAAACGTATGCTAAGACACTCGCGATGCTTGTTGTCAGTGACAATACTAACATCGTGTAGAAAACCTTCGGGAATTCCGTCTTGATCTTATCCCTCTCAGTAGTCCTGAACATCGGCCTAAGAACTACGTAGAGCCCTGCGAATCCAGCAATGCATTGGCTCAAGGTCGACCAGAAGTTGCTGTCTATCACAGGTAGGTTGTCTGGAGTCTCGCAGAGATAAGTGGAGTAAATGGTGAATGGCATTGCCGCGGCCAGTATAAGGAGGACAGGTGATTTGATGAGTTGAAAGAGAGGTTCGAGGATACTGGTAGCCTGAGCCCATTGCGTTTGAAGCCTTTCCTTGGTTCGGACCGCTGGTTGGTTGCCAATGATAGCAGCACGTTTTCCAAGCGATAACCTGTGCGTGATTCCGCTAGATGATACATTGGCACCACTGGTCCACGATTGGGCCCGAGGTGGATTTGGAAGCGGTGCAAGGTGCTTTGATTGCTCTATTTCAAGTTAGCAACATCATAAATAGGTCGATTCCGGAGACGGTTCACCTTCGATACTTGATTCATCAACTTTTGCTTTGCACTGGTCCAAATTTGTCTCGAACATATAGAATATCTTTTCAATATTTTTCACTTCATCATCAAAAGATACCCTGGTCATAAGAGTAATCTCAGCGAAAGCTGCTTTGATGGAAATGAAGATCGGGGATATCTCAGCCAGTTGTCTGCGCATGCCATCGATCCTGGTACAAAGCCAAGAAGAGTCCTCGACTTCCTTTTTCCAACGATTAAAAACATTAATCCATGCTGGTTCCCAGGTGTAGCTCGAATGGAAGTCTCGGCTGAGCCTGCCCAAGACTGTCTGCTGTTGCGGGTGCCAGGAATTATCCGGAACCCTGCCATGTTCATCGAAAGTTGATAGAGAATCCAACATCTTCGCGAGTGAACGGCATTGTAGAATGAGTAGTGGGTAAGAAATAGATAAACAAAGCTCGATGACTTCTTGTTGCGTGGGGGACATCCATGTCCTTAGATTTCCGATGACCGTTAAAATGTCGACGGCATTCATGCCAGCCAAATTAGCGTGTTTCTCTCCCAGATGGCTCGTCGCCTCGGCTTTCAACCTCTGGACTTCATTGGTATCAATCTGCGCCAGCAGCGCACTCCCTTTGTCAACGTTCGTCCTGTCAAATGCTGTCTCAGGGACCATATCCTCTAGCTCAAGCTCCATCTTCTATCGTCAGGCGAAATATTTGAATCTTATAGGAATGCGTGGGCGGATAAAGCTGAGATGGGAATCGCTTTGCGGTGACTTCGGTACTGGTTGTTGGCTGCCCTGCGGGATATATGTGCCCAAGGCAGCCTCAGGTAGCCTTGGGCTCTATTCTAGACTGTTATTTGTTTGCACTTTCATGAGACACATCTGTGTCAACAGGCCAATAGAAGCAAAGATGACTGCAGTGTGCCACTACGAAGTCTTACATGCCCCATTATTCAAAACTCAGCTCGGTTCATATTCAGTAAGATGCGTCAATGCCCTCCCCAATCCTACGAAAATGCGTTACTTTTTAGCACCAGCTGAAACTTAGCGTGAGAAAAGTGCATCTTGTCTCTTTTCCCACGGCGTACTGGAAGCATGGGCAAATTGCCTACGATGATACTTGTGCCCAGTTTATTGTCATGTCGGTAACTGCATAACTAACTCTCTAGATACAATATCCAGCCGCTGACTCTCATTTTACTGTCGGCCCTTGCCTCCATTATAGTACGATTCTTGCTTCCGTCGACGATGACATTATTTGTCTGACAAACGGCAGGTATAGAGGTAATGAATAAGAAGTCTTCAATGTTTCACTGCAAAAGGTCATCTCAAGGTGAGCTTGCCTTGCCCAAGTGTCGTCATTTCATATGGTGTTATCGACAAGATCTTCAAAGATTATGCCGCAGCACGATGAAAGGTGCCTTTAACTTGACAGCACGGGAAAGATTATACACGATGAAAACATGTAATCACTAGGGATAACATCTGGTCATTATTAATCGGCTCAAATTTGCCCTGAGCGGATACCCGCGACCAATTGCTGGGATTAATGGTGGTGGTGTGATTTATGATTGGCGCAGATCTCCCCGATGACTCACTGCATTTAGGCATCACTCAGCTAAAAACTCTCTATATTTCCTCAACTAAGCCATTCATTCCATCAGCGAAAGAGTTTCACTCTATTTTCTGAAATACAATCAATATGGAGTCTTCGGATCAGCCCACTCCCAAACCACGGTTTGCCGTAGTTGGTTGTGTAAGTCTAGCCTGCTGAAGACCATGAAGACGTATGATGGAGCACTAGATACTAATGAAAGCCTCGCGTTCTGATAGGGCCATGGACAACTTGATACCATTTACGCCGACCTCGAGTCCAGATGTTCAAGCAGGGGCTGGAGCCTGTCGGATCTTGACCTTCTCATCATCTGCGGCGACTTCCAGGTAGGCCCAATCATCCCATAGATGAGTCTCATTTCCTTGAATCTCATAAAGAATCAATCACAGGCTGTAAGAAACGAATCAGATCTCAATTGCATGTCTGTCCCGCGAAGATACCGCCAGCTTGGGGACTTCCACAAATACTACTCTAAACAGACCCGAGCTCCTGTCCTCACAATTGTCATTGGTGGCAACCACGAAGCATCAAATTATTTCTTCGAGTTGTACCATGGAGGCTGGTTAGCGCCCAATATCTTCTATATGGGTGCTGCGAGTGTTATACGGTATGGCCCGTGGCGTATTGCAGGTCTTTCAGGGATCTATGGCCGTCCAGATTATCGCAGCCCTCACCACGAACGACTCCCATACGATCGTGACGGGATCAAGTCCGTCTATCACGTCCGCGAATATGACGTCGAGAAGCTTCTTCGAGTTACCGGGCATGTCGACATTGGACTCACTCACGACTGGCCTGCTTGGGTGGAATTGTGCGGAGAATATGAGAATTTGTATGCTGCAAAGCCCCATTTCCTCGCCAGTGCCAAAATCGACAATCTGGGCAACAAACCTGCCAGTCGACTCCTAGGATATTTACAGCCCTCATATTGGTTTTCGGGGCACATGCATGTCAAATTTTCAGCCACTATCAAACATATTGAATCCACCTTCGAGGATACTGTTCGCTTGCTTCCCATATCAGAAAGCATACGGACAACTTTACCTTTATTCAAGAAAAATGTTTCTAAATCTTCTGCTGAGCACACTTCCGAAACCAGGCAGAACAACGTCACTGAGTTTCTGGCTCTTAGCAAAGCAGGACACCATCCTTCTACGTACATGGAGCTGTTGGAGCTTGAACTTCCCGAGCGCTCGGGAGAGGAGCAGCAGTATTTCTCTCGCGATGAAAACGGAAAATATTTTCTATCTTACGATGAGGAATGGTTAGCCATCACTCGTGCATACAACGACACCCTCCGGCTTGCCGACCCGAACACCCTCATTGTCCCTCCTCCGAAGAAAAAAGGCATCGTTTCTCCCACAGCGATAGCCCGACAAAGAACCTGGGTTCGTGATAACATATCCAAGAAAGGACTGCTTCGCATCCCGGAGGACTTCGCAACCCATGCGCCAACACAGTCAACCAACACAACGGACGGGCAGGAGCAGCCCCCTGAATATCCAAACAAACAAACTTCGAATTTTGCCGAGTTGCTGGAAATGGAGAACAAATTCGCCGTTTCTGTAGAGGACTCTCACGAGGATGACGATAGCGGTGGAATAGAATTCGGGTGGGAGTAGCCGATGAGGTCCATCGTAGTTTATAGTTGGCAGAAAACACCCTATTAGAGAGGAGAATGCTATCGCACCACCACATTCCCCTAAGTGATTCACAATAGAAGGCTGGCTTAAGAAGATACTGCTAAGTAAGTATGGTTACTGTAAATCAACGAATTATTCATTTGTGCTCTATATAATCGTCAAGGCGAAAGGTTTACTGCTCAACAGCCCCACTCGGTCAAATTTTCACACCTCAATCAAGATGAGTAGCTATAGCACATAGCTTGGATATCCATGTAGTCTTTGACAATGGGTTCAACATCCCCAAGCTGCATGATGGGCATAGCATCATTGATCGAGGCTGTAATGGTCTTGGCTGCGTCGTTGAAGCCAGTGTAGTCAGCCAGACGGGTAGCGTTACGGCCCTGCCACTATAATTAACGGAGTTAGAAAGCGTTATTCTCTCTGGCAAGACGAGTATGATGACATACCTTGGCCCAAGCACGGTCGACATTGGCGTGGTGCAGGAAAAAGAGCGGCTCGTTGGGCGAAGTGGCCGGTCCCATGTCGCCAAAAATAACGCTGTGAACTATAGATACCATCTGTTAGATCCCTCTGAAATAGGGTAGGTCAAATATAAGAGAGACAAACTTTGCGCGTGCGGCAATCCCTCAAGCATGCTGGACATGTCGCGGAAAGTGTCGAAACCATAGATGGTCTTCATGACCGAAGAGCTGTACGCTCCCACCTGCATGTCACCAATGATGGAGTCTCCGTTCTCATCCTGTCCCAGGCCACCATTGAACTCGCGCGTGAAGCAGTGCAGACGATTGCCGGCGTCGTTCATGTTAGGCCATCCCATGGCCAACGTCAAGTTCGTGTTAGCAAAGGGACCATCAACGACGCAGCGCTCGAAGCCTGGCTCAGTGCTGCCAGTACGCTTGCCGTCACCTCCAAAGCCAGTTGCTGGATCGAAAAGGGGAGAGTTGGGCATGTCCTTGGCATCCGCGTCGATGCTCCAGTCCCAATAGGGCTGAGTTCCGGTGAAACCACATTCGGTGCGCAACAGATTCTCGTGCAGCTGCACGTACCAGCGATGCCACGGAAGGAAGTTGGCTACGAAGTGAATCTCCGTGTTGAGGGCAAAGTGGGTGTAAACCAAGTCGTCCAGGCGTGTCGTGACGGCGTCGATGGCAGCGTACTTCTGCTTGGGCAGTCCACGTAGGCACACAGCGGCACGGAGGTACTCAGCCTTTTCGGCGTTGGTGAGCTCTCGCCACTCTTTGCGAACGGCCATGTTGGTACAGGCACCATCGGCACGAGGCAACGCGCTGGCAGCAGCCCCAGCCGCAAGGGCGCAGACGGCGAGGAATGAGCGAGGGAGCATATTGATAACGAATGAAGACCGGTTCGAGTGAGAGAAGTTGTGTATTGTGAAACACGGGAATTATAGTCGTGTGAGTTTTAATACAGCAGAGTGAAGACTAGTTTTCGTAGAAGAAGCCATCTCCTTATAACACTTCCCTTTTACTTCGGCTTTTCAGAGTGCATTTGGCAGTGACATTCACTAGCGCCGGCACGGTAGACAAAATGGTTAGTTTCCGTCTTCTTTGCTTGGCGGGTTCGTATTGAGACGATCCAGTCTCCCCCTGCCATCTAAACGGGCCCATTTAGCTCGTGTTCAAGATGCAAAACAAGGGGCAGCATAAGGGCTACGGCTTTACCGACAAAACAAAATTAACAAGACCCTTGCTCAAGTCTCGTCTCCGTGGGGTATTTCGGTACTGCAGGGCAACTGAATTTTTTTTGGTCAGACTAACTCCAGTTGATATGTCTGTGCTTCAACTGTATGCTCTTTAGCCGACTCGACTGGAATTAAAACAGGAAACTTTATACGAGCCATCGACCCGTTCGATACGAAGTTCCAAAGTCTTCAATACAGCAAGGCGGACGAAAAATTGGCGAGACAGAAGATACAATAGATGTATCTAGCAGCTCAAACAAAGAGGAACCTTTCTAGGGCCAACAGTATCAATGAGGACAAAGGAGCCGAGGACCGAGCTTTTGATAATTATTTGCAAGTCCATACCTCACGAATGTCGCTCAACACGGCAATATACAGAGTTCGTACTCCAGACTACATACAAGTATGACTGTTGGGTTGGGGGTTAACTCAAAACCACACCGTAGAATTGTGAGTTAAAATGCAAACCGCTAACCGCACTAGACACTCCAAGCAATCAACGTTCCACAACAACTATTCAAACGAGGTTTAGTTTTGTGTCTAGAACCTGTATTAATCACATAGTCCATGGTTCCGGATACTTCATTGCCTTGCCATAATTACTATCATATCACGGAAAGACGCATCGTTAGAGGAGGCAATTTTTAACAGAAAATAGAGCAAAGCCTGCTGTCTGGTCTATACAGGATGAAACTGGGTAATTTATTAACCCTGCCCAGTTTGACAAGTGGGCCTCGACTCACCATAACCTATTGATTGCCCGTAGTCTGAAACGATTGTGGGTTGTCAGAAGAGAAGATTATGTTCCTTGGGCCACTGAATTCATTCAGCATATCAAACGGCCAGAATCTTTTCAATCTCACTAATGACGTGTGTATGCTATCCTTGCAGTGACTTAAGTAACACTAAACGATAACCTTGTAGGAGTAGTGGGATAGTCTATCTCGCTTTAGTCTATATGTTCATTAAGTACAGGTTATCATCGAGTGCAAGAATACTAGTCCATTGTGTCTCGATCTTGTATCAGCTAGATTCTTCATGTGTCTGACATGAACCGGAGGTACTACTTGCAAGGGAGTGTGTCTAGCTTGCAACTCCGAGTTTGGCCAAGTTGTTTGAGAATCCTCGTTCTGCCAACTCTTTCTTGCTCTCCCTCTTCCTCTTATATGTAGACCTTGTCCGGGTACTAAACTAAGCTTTTGTGAGAGGTTGCTTCGTTACATGGGTTTAGAAAGCTACAGGCACTCATAAAGCGTAAGGATGGCCCAATGACTTCATCGCACTGCGGACCCTGGCACATGTCAGACGACACCCACGAATATTAGACCGATGCGTCTTACGAGTAAAGTACACGGAACACGCCTTCAATTATCGAATCTAACGTTCAGGACACCCACAATGAGCTTTCTATTGAGGCCGCTCTCTTCTCGTTCCTATATGAGGGGTCCTGCCAAATCTTGCACACTTTCGAAGCTTACCCTATAGCCATTAGTTAAGGACCACCTACTTTTATCAGAAATCAGTCACTTGCGAGATCGTTACCAATCCTAGGACCAAGCATTTGGTAGGATATAATATGGTAAACGCGTAGGGAAACAGCAACATTATCTCAAACTATTCCCAGAAGTCGATGAATAACGGCGGTGCCATAGGAGCACTCTTGTTTATCAAGTTCACTAAGCCAAAAGAGACGAGGAGTTAGTTGATTGAGAAGGTTTGAGAACAAAGTAAAACAGCAATAATAAGATTCCAGACACAGCAACTTTACGCAACAAATACAGAAGGCAGAACATACACAGGCTCTAAGAACCCAAGATCATACCTATATTAAAGGGAAGCTGAAATCTTTATACTAACAATTTACTTAACATTAGTATAAGCCACTCATTAGGTCACTCTTTATTCTACCCTCTTTTACCTAGGTAGTTTCCTTCATACACTTACATTCTATCCTTTACCACTCCAAACACCTCAACCAAGCTTAAGGCTTTCAGCAATCCAGAGCGAGTTGGAACTAGCCCAGCCCGGATGCAATATCCAGGTATATCCATATTGCAAATAATGGATCATTTGTGATCCAGACACAAGGCAGCTTACTAACATTAAGAGTCCAAGAGTTCAAAAAGGGGCAACTTGCATCCGTAGCTTCAACCCCCATAATTCAGCCACTGCTCAGCCCAGAACCCCTGTAAAAGTGGAATAATACGATTAACACTTAGGGCCGTGTGACCCTCTTCACGCCCTCATAGCACGTGGACTTGGGGCGCAAGACTTAGGAGACGCTTGGGGAGAGTCTTAATTTACTCTGTCGAAGCGAGCGCCGGGAGCGAGGTCCGATGGCAAAGTATCGGGTCCGCCTGTGCTTAGACTGACCTGTCCCCAGTCTCCAAGAGGGAAGGCAAATTACCCCAAAAGCTCAATACTACATCGTTTTAGTCTCCAGTGGTCTAATGTGGAAGGTGCGAGCATACTTGTAGATCGATAAAGCCTGAGCAGATGTCAGATCACTACTAAACTGGGTTGCTTTTGAAGGACATTGGCAGCCGTAATCAGCCCATATTCAATGACTTGAATGGGTGGGGAAATTCGTGAACCTCTCCCTAGCTATAACAGCTCGGCGAATCTCCTGCAGACAGACGGTGTAATCTCTTGGCTAGAGAACTATGTCACCCTCCCTTGAACTAAGTACCCTTTCTACCTTCATTCTCACGATCTGACTAGATGAGCTGGTCTCAGCGATCATGGATCCTAAATTCCATGACAAGAATAGCAAAGTCTCCATCTGCTGGAGCTCAGCATGTGGATCTATTTGACACTTTTCCCACTTGAACAGTCCCATTTGACCTGCTGTTCCAACGAAGAACTGCCCTGGGTATTCTCTGCGGCTATGTCACCCCAAATAGGGGGTTCGATAAGATGATAAGTTGTGTCGCCGCGAGTTCTGCTAGGCAACCATGGACACCTAGAAAGAGAGCATTGATGACAGCACGTCAAATTTCAAGGCAGGTAAGTCGTAAAGCAAGCGCGGTCATGACAGATTGAGAATGAACAAAGGAATCATGGAGGCCACTGTGGTTGACGTTTCACCTGTAAAGTGGCAGCGCATTGCTTCATTAGTGAGAGCTGTAGGAAGGCAAGCTTGCATCGGAGTTTAATCATTACGTGAGATCTGACTAATTCATACACGTACTTAAAATCGGCCCATGACTGGGCGTTGTACGGCCAAGCTCACGGAGTGTGTTATCATATGAAGCATTAACAAGTTTGGCTTCCTCCACTTTTACTCAGCTCAACAGGGAGAGCGTGATATTAAAGGTCAATAACGGTAATGGATGTCCGTATATCCGTAGCGCCTTTGCTGGAAGGAACTAGCGTCCTTTCGGTTCTGTGCTATTCCAGCTTTGAACCCAAGCGTGCCGTTTATGATATCATCCTCTGTGTGTATTCCGCAACTTTACCAAATAAAAGCAGATAACTTGCTAGAAAAAACCGCGATGTTCATCTTCCAAAGCTGTTCCATTTGGTTGCTGCCTCTTATACTAGTCGTCACTCAACCTATCAGACCTGCGTTTTCATACCAGCCTGCGCAACATCTCCACTGACTAGCCCTCCAAGGAGGAGAAACCATATGACTGTCTCCTTTTCGTGGTAGACGAGACCACCACTTACTAGTGGCTTCCATCGGATATACGTACTAAATATTCAAGGTTAAATCCAACGTCATGATCTGACCAACGGCTTGGCTGTTGGTTCCTGTCACATATCCCCCTGGCTTGTCAGGTATAGTCCCAAAAGTCTCTCCACTCTACTCGGTTCTCGCCTTCTACTCGGGCCTATTGTGGTAACCTTGACCTCTCCTGTCAAGAACGACTAATATCCCACCTTCTCCATGATATCCCACTTACACAACCGCTCGGTTGATTGGCCCGAACAGGTTGACTAGGTTAGTAATCTTGGTCTAACGGGTTGTCCTTTTGAAGATGCTCAATCTGCCCGGGTTCGACAGTGGGCGGCTCGGTGCCGAGCTATCCAATTCCCCCCCGGCTATTATCGGCCCGACCGAAGAGATTTCCAGTTTGCTTCTGTAAACATGGTAGCAAACATGGTGGCCTGTATAGCCAGCTTTTTTACTGCTCGAATGAAAAGTTCTCCTCAAAGTACACTTGCATAGCGATACGTAATAGCCACTCAAAAGTGCCTATTACCTAGTAGGGCTCTCATCCAAGTTGATTCTGCAAGTTCAATTTGGGATTGATGCCTTCAAAGATCTTAGTGAGTCGATCCTGAAATACACTTACACTCAAATTCCGTTTAAAAGTATCACTTCTCAAAAAGAAAATCTTGAATAAGTTGTCCTTGAAGAATATCCGTATAGTGAGAGCAACGCAGTGCACCCGTACGCAGTCGGCAGTGTAGTGAAGATGCATACGAGGACAGCCTGGCTTCGCCGTCCTCGGGAATGGGATTTCTACAACCATGCCAGTTAAATTCAGATTAAGAAGTACTTTGATACGTAATAAACATGGGACTTTCCGACGAACAATGGTGCAATACCTACCTAGCCTACAACCCACGAACAGAATCATAAAACAACTTCATAACCTTGAAGGAACTTTACGTTAAAGCTATGGCGTGATATGCTCCTAAATGGCAGAATTGTTACCTTCACCCACGGACATTACATAGCATTTTTCCATGATGGAGAGTGAAAAGATATAAAGCCAATGTGATGAGAAGGCAAGATTTTTAGAACCAGTTGTATTATCTCGTCAATCTTATCATTTCACCTTCTTGTACACCAACCTGAAATTTCTCTCGCAATGACCTCTGTGACTGACAAGAAGGGGGAAGATCCTATTATTTATTTATTCCCTCTCGAGAGAACATCTGCGTTTGATGAGGAGCTGCCCAATGGCCACGCAAATCAACCACCCGCAGAACCAGTACGCCAAAAATGGTATCAGTGGTTCTCCCCCATCGATACGGCAGAGGAGCGTCGTTTGGTCATCAAGCTTGATTGCTTAATCCTAATTTACATTTGTATCGCTTATTGGGTCAAAGTCATGGACGGATCAACGATTTCGGCGGCATACGTCAGCGGCATGAAGGAAGACCTTGCTCTCAACGGTAATGAGCTGAATTATATTGGCACTATAAACCTGTGAGTATAACATATTTTGGCAAAGATTAGCATCTTCTTGCAACTTTGGACATCATAGACTAACGACAAAGCTTCCAGGGTTGGATTTCTTATCCCACAGATCCCTTTGACAGTAATGGTAAGCTACAAACCCTCAATTCGCCTTGATAACTACTTAAGATATCCTCAATATATATAGATGGCTCGATGGGGCTCCAGCCATTGGATCCCAGCTGCAGACCTGTTTGCGGGCATTTTCACTCTCGCTCAGTACAAGGTGTCCAACGTGAGCCAGGTTTACGCGATTCAATTTTTCTTAGGCGTATCAGGAAGCTTCTATTACCCTGGGGTTCATTGGTACTTAGGATCCTGGTATAAGAGTTCTGAGCTAAGTCGACGCGGAGCTCTGTTCTTCATCGCCAGCCAGTTGGGATCCATGAGTGCCAGTTACATTCAAAGCGCAGCATATGTGACTCTCGACGGCAGATATGGCATCGCAAGTTGGCGATGGCTCTCTATTATTTGTAAGTATTTCCACTTACCTGGTACTTGTAATCCGACATTTTCTGACCAGTTGCAATCAATTGGACGGAACAGGTTTTGCTATTACAGTTCCAGTTGCGGTTGTAGGTTTTTTTCTGCTGCCTGGCACTCCCGATAAACCCCGAGGCCGCTTCTTGACGGAGGAGGAGATTGTTTTAGCCAAAAGACGCATGGAAGATGAAGGACGCGAGCCAGCTAAGCCTCTGACTGTCGCCGTCATCAAGGACGTTCTGCTCGGGTGGCATTTCTGGGTTTTGGTTGGCCTCACATGGTTTTTCTCCCAGACTGGCGGCGCGAGTATCGACCTTTGGCTCAAGGCAGAAGGCTACAGTGTTGAGGATATCAACAACATTACTGGAGCAATCCCTCCGGTAACCATTGTTGCGTGCGTGGTAAACGGCATTCTCTCAGATGCCTATGATGCCAAGGTCGCTTTGATTACGGCAACCGGTCTGCTGAACCTTTTTGCGGCCATTTGCCTTGCGGTTTGGAATATCCCAGTTGGCCTTAAGTTCCTATCGTACTTCATCTTTGGGACTGCATACGGTATCGCTGCTGTCATTTACTCCTGGGCAAATGAGATCTGCGGTGGCAGCTCCGAGGAACGGGCAATCGTTCTCAGCAGCATGAACACAATCGGGAACGTGTTTAGCGCATGGGTACCGCTACTGTGAGTTTGATCATTCTAAAACATAATCGGATCATCATTCTAACCGGCTACGAAAGTGTTTGGAAAGTGACCGAGGCCCCTCGCTACCCCAGGGGTTTCATATGGACCATCACGCTGAATGTTGGGATGATAATCATGGCTTGGGTTACTCGATACTTTTGGCGCCAAGAGAAATCCAGAAGACACGTGTCGAGTTAAAGAATGCTCTGTATCTTCTAGTTGAGTAACGGCACTGGGGTTTTAGTCCCGGCTCGCAGGGTATCGAGGCGAGTGAGGTTTTCCCCAGGTAATACTGTGTTCAATGTGTAATTAATTAGATGCCCCATTCTGGCTTCAACTACATCGTTGTAGTATCATAATGTCATTGCAAATTGGACTATTTCGTACGTTCAAGAAATAAGCCCTCCGCATGGAACAATTTGAGGGTCGCTCGTCACCTTCAATCTCTTTTTTCCATCTATGACGCCGACTCTTACAATTGTATCTGTTCGGGCTTGTCGATATTGTTTGGGATAAGGGCATTTATAACCAGCATGCCTACGACTTCCAACCACCATCGCCCCAAATAGGGCCTCCAGGAGGGGTGTAAGGGTTCGTTGCAGAAATATCCCGGTACTCGAGAAATATCTGCCACAAGTTGTTAGCTTCAATGCAAAACATACAGATGATATGTGGCCGCGCACCGATTTAGTATCATCAGGCTGGTAAGCGCCTGGTAGAGCAATACCCTCTGGCAGCTTCGTCGTACCGCTTCCGGTAACGGTGATCTGGTGGCAGCCAGGATAAAATTGAGCGAGGCTTCCGTTCTTGTTGGTCCTCTGAAGACCCAGAATCTCATGCCTATTTTGCTCTCCACTTAGTAAGGTAAGACTTTTGACCGTTGGATCCCACTAACCTCAAAATGTATTCACCAGGAGCAATGCTTGATGGGAGCTGAACCTCCCAGGTGCTATTCTGGGTCGGCAGACGCTTGCTTGCCCATGGAACCGCTTCGTTGGCATCGTAGCCAGCGTGGTCGATCTTAACCCATACATTGCCCGTACTGCCGGAGAAAGAGCTGCACGGGCCGTTGCAATTGGCGAGATAAGTCAGAACTTCATAATGGTCAGACGTAACACTCAATAGATGGTTTTGGATATAAGCAGGACGTACTTGGCCCCGGGTGGTCACTCTGCCAGTCTGTCCACATGAACTTGATCAAGCTTCCAGCAGCTACCTGAGCTGTCGCTGTGACAGGGATATTATTGACTCCATCCCGGCCGATATTGCAAGTGATCTCTTCCGTCTACTTTTGGTTAGACAGGCTAATCTCGAAGGGGGGAATTAAGAAGTAATCATGTACGAACGGTAAAGCGTCCATCGGTAACCGGCCCATTATCTTTGAAAATTCTCGTGATCTTATTCACGGGTGGGTTCTTCTGGGGATCTTTGTATGGGTTCCAGGTATCAACAAGATTGTTCCCGAACCATATCTGCTGCACGAATCCATGAGCAGATACAAGGGCTGGAAAGAAAACAGATAAAGTGGCGGCCTTCATAATGGCGAAAAAGTGTGATATCGATTAGGACTGAAGATGCAATGTTCTATCCCACTACCCGACCCGAACCCGGACCTAACTCCATTATATACTCGCTCTCTACCCCAGCGTTTGAGGTGACTTCGAGACGTTACAAATATAATGAAGGGTTGGCAAAGGGGTTGAATGAAACAGGAACACGGAAGGTGGGGTGGATGGTTCGGAAAGCTGGGGGTTTTCCGGGATTCGTGGGTTTAATAGTTCCGGATGCAACAACTCCGTATACATGTTACGATGCCTGGAAAATACCCGCCTGAAAGACGACGCTCTTGGGTCTCCCCTGCCTCTCGTTTGGCTTAAAATGGTCTCACCGTACGCGGAGCTAAGATAAACGGCTCCGATACTCTCAAGTGGACAATGATCTGCGCTTTTTCAACTTCCACCACTCTCTTTTTAAACCACGTAATCCCAAGATAAAATCATCCAATAATCCAATATGATACATGATCTCACAGAAAAATTGTTATTGTATAACAAGATGTAATTTACCAAAGGGTAGTTACTAAGCTGTAGATAGGAGTACATTCAGTGGTCAAACCAATCAATTTCAAGAGAAATAGCAGTGGAAATAAAATTTCGATGAAATGGTGCATCTGAATTTTATACTATAAATGGATTCGTAGATTCCGTTGGGTTAAGGGACTCATGTTTTCAGACTTCGAGACCACTGTGAATCGTAGGATAACTCAAGCGTTCGATGATAGGTGAAGAGACTGGCCAAGTGACATCTCAGCGCAACGATTGATTTCAATGCAGTATGCTTCCAGGCATACTATAGGTTTTTACAAACCTCATTCAGAGAGATAAAGGTAGGTGTAAATGAATGCAAGATTTTTATCTGGCTAGGTGTGCAAAATATCGTAAAACCAAGAGCTGGCACGATGAGATGCTGAATACGAAGGCGCGACATGCCCCTCGTCTCAGTCAAAGTTCTAATTTCCACCAATAAACCCTCTTCTAAGTCTATCAAAAGTTTAAAGCATCATGCCGATCATTTCTCTAAATAAAAGGGTAAGACGGGTCAGGCTCGGAGTAGATTTGTCAGAGAAGCAGTTGAACAATCTATTTCGCCACGTCAAGACCACAAATAAGCTTGCCATGTAAAGATGTGTCTGACCTTCCGCGAATGACAAACAGCGAACCCAGACGCCTTCATTGCCACGATTTAGGTTTTACATGTCCTCCGAGAAAGTCTAAGATGGCACTCCAAACGTTTCAGCACTCCTATCAAAAGCGAAGCGATTTCGGCATAGACCAGAGTGTTTCGATGACCACTTTCTAAAATTCTAGATAAAGCTCCAAAGCTAATCTGACTGCCTAAACTACTGCTTAAGCGAATGACTCTCAAACGTTGTGGCGAGTCGACAGAGTCAGGAAGAGTCCGCATTATGCGATTATCAGTGTGGTGAGTAGAGGAGTCTGACTTATCTGACTTTAACTTGCCTAGGCAGAGTGACGAAGGAGACATTATACAAATATGAAGCGAATGTTTGCGAAAGTATTTGAGCCGAATCTGAGACATGGAGAAATGAAGCGCGTATGGGCAATGGGGTAGATAAAAAATGGAAACGGCTGTACAGCTTTAGGGTCATGTTCTAACTTGCAGCCAAGACGATGATTATTACTCCTTATTATAACTACGACAGTGACACCGACAACCTTGTAGAAACATTCTCTTCATATAACTTGGGTGTCAGAACGTATCATGGCCTCATCTCACGTTAAATTTCCGTGAGAATTTGTCCAAGGTGCAGTTGTTTGCCACTTAAGTAACAGAGATTGTAGTCAAATCCATTCAAGTCCGACGGAGCGGCGATTTGCGCCTCGGCCGGCCCCTGTTAGAAATCACGATGAATCGGAGAAATCCAAAGCCAGTAAAGGTTCGAGATGGAGTGGGACAGCAACTAAAGAGGCCAACCTTTGAATACTTCAAACCAAGGACTCCACTATAACCAAGGCTCAGTGCTATTAATATTACGGGTCTTCAGGATCGGGACGAAGCATCATTCCCGACGGAGTAATTGTATGAAAGATAAAGTCCGACACACCAATCCCATCAAAGCAGATGGGATCTATGCAACTAACATCCATGCAGAGTGTAACTAAAGTCCCATGGCAATGACATTTCATCACCATTTATATCTGTCAATCAGCCCTATTTGAAAGCTTGGCTGACAAGCGGACCACGGTAGTCCTCAGATCCGGGGACATTTGTCAACAACCCTTGTCAGTGGGCCCTAAACTCGGTACAGCAATGTGAGACCTAGATATGATCGTCCTCTTGTAGGGCTGCTATGGGCCACGAAGGCAAAGGTCAGGCTGAATTTCGAGTTGGCTCGACCCAAAAATGGGAGGCGTATGCCAGTTGAGTTCGAGCGTCAGAGTAAGGTACTTCCGGTATCATTTAAAGCAACGCCTCCCTATCATCCTGTTCCTTTACTTTCATTCTTCGTGGTCTATACTCAGCAGACCCTTTTTCTTATTTCCCATTTTGAGTTGCTTTTTTCTTGTGAGGAGAATTCTTCAACTTTTATTATTTCTATCTGTACTACACTCAACATGGGTTCGTTCCATCATAGCCGGTCAGGAAAATCGGGAATCATAAGAGCTGATGATACCGAGCAACGGTCGATGAGCTGGTACTCGGTTCCCCAAGATGAGCTGTTCGAGGAATCGACTGCCTATGACTCAGGGGCGCCGATTGATATTTCCCCAACAAACACAGGCTCAGCAGGCGAAGGGGAGGAAAACTTACCCCTCGGTCGAGCCATCAAACTCTACCCCAAGATGGTAGGGTACTGCATGGCCATGACAATCCCCATCATCGGCTGGGGTTACGACTTGGTTATCGTCGGCGCCATCACAGGTGTCGACTCCTTCACAGCAGACTATGGTGCAATGATTGAGGGCATACAGTCAATTCCAGGGAACTGGCTGACTCTGTGGATGGCACTTCCCCCAGCAGGCTCGGCCCTTGGCGCTGTCGTGTGTGGCTGGATGCAGGATCGAATTGGCCGAAAGTTCAGTCTCATGATCGGCAGCATCATTTCCGCCCTTGCCATCTCTTGTATCTTCTTCTCTTACTTGTTCGAGCCTGTAACGATTAAGCGTGCCGTCATCACGGCTGGTTTGACAACCCAAGGCTTTACTGTCGGCATTATCAAGACTACCTGTCTGACCTGGGTGTCGGAGAACTCACCAACCGCACTGAGAGGTTCGGCGATGGCCTTATTCCCAACATTCACTCTTATTGGGCAGCTTATCGGAGCAATCGTCGTGTTCATTGTCAACAAAGTCGAGACTGCGACTGCATACCGGGCTGCCTTCGCGTCTCAATGGATTCTGTGTCTGGGCCCCTTTATCCTGTCATGTCTAATGCCCGACAGCCCGGCCTACCTGATTAGAGCAGGAAAAGAGGCTCAGGCAATTGCGTCGGCTACTAGACTGTTTGCGCCAAAAGTAAATCCCCGCATCGCTCTGGAGAAGATTCGACACACGATTGAGGAAGAAAAGGCATCAGTGACATCAGCCTCGTATTGGGCCTGCTTCAAGGGTACCGACTTGCGGCGCACCATGATCGTTATCCTTGCCAATGTTTTCCCTGCCCTGTTTGGCTTGGACCTGCTGTCTAACTCGACCCCATTCCTTCAAAGCTTTGGGATGGAGTCAAGCACTAGTCTGCTGCTCCAGATATTCGGTATTGTTGGAGGTATGGCTGGCAATGCAATCGGTCTATGGATTCTTTCGCGCTCGGGACGTCGCAACATGACCATCATCTCTATGGGTATTACAGGACTCCTCTGGGGGGCGATGGGCGTCACAGGTTTCTGGTCCAGCCCTACGCTCACATATGTCGCTGGAGGAATCATGATTGCTGTCATTGTAACTTGCGGCTTGGGATGTTGGCCCGCAGGATATGCCATCACGGGAGAAACAAGCTCCCTGCAACTCCGAGCTCTGACCCAAGGCATTGGCGGCGTGGCAGCCCAGGGTTCCTCCATTACGATTGCCGCTGTCCTCCCACAGCTTTTTGGTCGAGACAAGGCAGCGCTTGGCGCAAAGACTGGTTTCGTGTTTTGCGGACTTTGTGCAATCGGCGTGCTTCTGACTTGGTTGTGGATTCCCGAGATGAAGGGCCGCAGTATGCAGGAAATTGACTACATGTTTGCAATGAAGCTGCCTACGAGGAAGTTTAAGCATTGGAAATCGGAAACCCATGAGATGCAGGAGACATTACCGCTGCGTGACAATTAAGTCGGAGCCAAGTATCTCTTATTAGGCTACATAAACCACCCGAAGGAAAATATTCGATGAAGTTAGTATACCTTAGTAGCAATCAAACCCTTTTATCCAATATCCAGTATATCTATATCATTGTAATACTACATGTTCTCTTTGAATTACACTTTTAACCACATGTCTTCAACAAAAATATAATCTTCCTCAACTGAACATGTTTTGCACGGGATCTTTGTAGAGGGGACCCTGGCCCATTTACTCATAACAAAATAGTGAATCAGCTCAGACACTTCCACGCACCCAAAAAATCATGTTAAATTCGAAAATTCCCGACGGTACTCAGAGTTTTCTTGCTGTCAATGTTCAATAATTCCAGCGCATGATGCGCGGAGATGTTAACCTTAGCGGGTGATTCTGATGGCATCCGGCTTGGCATTACTTCCAAAGGATCAGATCAGCACCAGCCAATGTATCAATCAATGTATCAATCCGAAGAGCGCAGCCACAATGCACGGATAATAACTCAGCACCTCTCCGCTGTTTCACCTGATGCCTAAGAGCTATAAAAAGCTCCCCACCGCAACAGTTGTTGCTAGAACTCACTCCTCCAACACCCGCACGTGGGAATCGCAATCACAGTGCCTATTCAAAAGATCAGTCTGCAACTATTTCCAATCCGTATTTAAACGTCATGGGTAGTAACTCACTCGAGCTGCCCTGGGAGGCTCTTGCGGCCAACCTTGAATGGCGCGCAGAGAGTCCATGCACATTCCAAAGCACAAACTACCATTTCCAATTCAAGCCGGATCAGAATGAGTCCCTTCGAAACTTCATCAACACCATGGCAACGACAATTAGAGGATGCGCAGACCGCGAGCGACTCAAATATCCCGATCATTATGATGTTCCTGGTGCAGATGACACCATCATTGACATGACTGTCGCGAGGAAGATGGCGCCTCTCATCCACAAGCTGCGTGCAGACAGCTACTACTGGAAGCCGGAAGTTGTGCCTGATTCAGCCTCCTGCCAGCATCGACGCGATGATTGCCCGGGCATGCTACCGCTGGAAGAACGAAAAATGTCCGCCTTTTTGCGGGTGTTCGATAATGATCAGACCAGCGACACCTCTTGTCCCTTCCGTAGGGCGGCGAACAAGAGAGTAATATTTAATCTCGAGGTTTTCAAGGCCCTTGTCATTTGCGGGGAGATGGACGCATTGCTCCGTATCTGCTCGCATCCAGACGTTCAATTCTCGTCTTGGCTGGATGGGCCATTTTCTTGCCATTGCGATGACGACGACGAGTGCGGAAGCGACCATGAATATGAATGGGCATCCATAGCAAATCACGCCCTGTGGTCCTTTATCACACTGAACTCGATGTCGTGGCTCAAGCGAGCCTCAACCACAGGACTTGGGCATCGCAATGATCTGAACGACTACCGCGACACGGAAGCCTATCAGGAGATGGTATTCGAGCGGACCAGATGGCGTTGCTTCCCCTTAGTTCAGTATCAACACAGGTTCTTCTTCGGTATCACAGACCAGCAATTTCATGAGTGGGGTGGTTTCCGTGACGAAAGGAAATGGAAACGGGCTTTGGACCTTTGGCAGATTGATTACCTACGGTACAGACCTCTCCTCGGGTATGGATCATATGATGATTTTCTCGATTGCCAAGGCGAAGCCGAAAGATTACCCGATAACGTCCACCACACTGCCACAGAAATATCACAGACTCGTTCATACCTTGCCACGCACACGCCCCTTCCTAACGAGCTAATCGACAGGATCCTCGAGGAAGGAGAATATGATACCCCTAAACGACTGCTGCAGGTCCCCCATGATCCCCTCCATCCGGCTAATCGCAAAGAGCTGCACGAGTACCTCGGGGAGTGTTGGGCTCTTCTCGTCAGGTCCGAGATTCTCATCAGAGCTCTCAACAGCAGGAGAACTGCGAACACGCGGGCTGAGGGTGTTCCTAGTGAGCATCTTGGTGAGGATACAGGGCCTGAAATCGAAACGAATATAGCGAACATTGATTGGAAAACAGAAATCGGTGAAGTGATCCAAAAGCTTTTTGGATGTACTTGCTGTCTTGAGAAGCTCAAGAACGGTGAGGACATAGGTTTCATGAATTCCAAGGTGAACACAAACGCAGATATGTGCTCCGACTTTCGTGCGTCGAAAATAGCCATACAACAGTTGCGTAGCAGTTAGAAGATATATTACGCACATTGTATATTGGCAAGTGACAACACTTAAGTTCCCAATTTTCACGCATGGGCCGCACTGGCAAAGTAAACGATCTGATATCACAGGTTATATTCTCTGTGAGAGTGTATGTACAATTAACAATGATTGCATGAACAATTGACGATACCCAAAACTCCATTATATGTGCCCAATATGTGTTCCGTAAAAGTCCACCTGGTTCACATGAAATAAATAGCAACTCCCTCAACTCCATATCGTAAGCCATTAAATACCCGTCATGTACAAATATATACTGTCAGTGGGCTATATACAAGCAATCAGACGACTGAAATCTCAAGGGGCGTCATGAATGAATCAATGTCATGACGCAATTAAGCGGGTTCAATATATCCAAAGAACAAAAGTTATTCAAGATCGAAACGACGGAAAGCAAGGATTGCCTAGTTGGACGTGTAGTGCGCCACGTAGCCAACCTCCTGGCGGGAGCCATAGCCGTCAAGGGTGGCGCCGTTGGGGTAGCCAGGCTATTATCAACATGTTAGCAAATTGTCTTTTTACAAGGAAGTTCCCATGCTTTACTTACCCAGGTCCCGCCGACTGCGACGTTGAAGATGATGTAAAGAGAGCTCTGAGCAAGCGCCGACCAAACGTTGGTGTTTCCGATACGCGAACCGCTCACCTGATGGAACTGGTTTCCATCGAGGTACCATGTGATGGTCTGGCTCAGGTAGTTCGAGTTACGGCGGTCGATCTCGACACGCCATGTGTGCCAGCTCTGGTTAGGGATACTCGTCGTGCCGGCGATACCAGCACCTTCGTTGCAGATTCCTCCGGGGTAGACATCGCAGTGGATGGTGCCGTAACCCGTCAGGAGACCGTTGACCGTCTCCATGATGTCAATCTCACCGCAAGCAGGCCAGCCCACGCCGTTACGCATGCTGTTTCCGAGCATCCAAAAGGCGGGCCAGATGCCCTGCTTGTTGGCAATGGCGCTATCGCCGAACATGATCTGGGCCTCGATACGGGTAATCTTGCCGTTGGCGGGGGTGAAGGTGTACTTGCTCTCGATGCGACCTGACGTCCACCCCTTGGGCTTAGAGGAGTCCTTCCATGGCACGAGTTGCAGGGTCTCGCCACCACTGAGCTGGACGTTGGCACTTGAGCTGGTGTATACCTGGAGCTCGGCGTTGACACCGAGGTCACCAGTTATGATGTTCCAGTTGCCAGTATTAGGGGACGAGCCTCCCGAACCGGAGAAGGTATCTTGCCAGACTCGCGTCCAGCCGGAGTAGGTGGGGGACTCCCAAGCACCGGCGACGGCGGCGATGGAGAGGAGGGAGGTAATAGTAAAGCGAACCATTTCTGCAGACTTATACCGTGTTCGGGGAGAGTGGCCACACGAAGATGTATTATGAACGTATGTATTTCCAAGGGAGTGTATGAGACGAGAGATCGTCAGTATATACAAGGAATGTCGGAGCCTTACAGGCAAAGGAATGACTGATGAACAACGGGTTGGTTCAGACAAAGCCTCTATTGGTTACAAAGGGCATCAGAATCATTAAGTATTCATTTTACCACCCCTTTTGCGATGGCCAGTCCGGTCGAAACAGCGCCTGGACCCAAAGAAGAAGCTCAAGCCATTCCATTGTTGAACCTCCCCGGAGGTGTGGAGCAGGGCAGGGCCGAACAGAAAGGCAGGTTGACAACAAGATGCGGCCATCCATTGGTCGCATAAACGCTTAGCATGACCATTATTGTGAGGCAAGCCACCTTCATCGTTCATGGAAGGGCGGAACTCGGGAGAGGCGCTTGACCCCGGCATCTGTTACAACTCTACTAGGCCCGAGGAAGCAAGTCCCTTGGGCAATCACCCGGTACTGAGATGCAGGGACATGTGCGGCGCGAGTGGCCGACCTATGAGCATCCATGAGCTTATTACTGACCAGATGCCATACACTTTGCGTGATATTCGCAATATGGGCCTTTGGGCCTGATAAGAGTGCCTTCCTAAGGGGAAAATCTTACATTCACATTTCAAATGCAATCTTTGTTCCTCCAGCTCTACTTTACGCATCGCTTGTCTGGTCAGGAGTCGCGCGCCCCTGAGACACCACCTGAATCTTGGTTTGGCCCAGAAGGCCAAGTTTATGCCACAGCGCCACGCAAGCCAGGGCCGATTCATCAGATAAGTCGCGCTATATTGGGCCGATGTTCTGAAACGTGCGCCCAGGGCAAAGAAAGCTTAGCCAAGCCGCAAGGGGATTGGGGGCCAGGGACTGCCGTAAGAGGGCAAGGGTGTTAAGAGGAATCGGTCCCTTCAATCATGAGCGTTCACTATTCAGGAAGGAAAGCAGATGTGATGGCAGGGAAAAGAGATGAATTCGTTCATTCGGGGAGTTCAGACGGACGAGCGAGTGAGATGATAGGCTGGTGGCCCAGATGAGGATGCATTGATGGGGCAATGACAAGACCCCCGATGCAACATAACCTGACTGCATCATGCATGTCCATGATGGGAAGATGGGATTGTGTGTGTGGCGAATGGACCCCATTAGTTGAGCAATAGTTGGGCACATGTTGCCATGTCGTGTCATTCATCGCTGGAGTGCAAATTCACCATCCTGTTTGGTGAATCATGAAACGCGCCGAATCACGGAATCATCCCTCTTTGGGAGGCAGCCAGCCAAATTTTGTCAGCAGAATAGGGCTTCAGCCTGTAAAATCCACCAGCAGCAGTGAGATCAATGCTACCTCCCTAATTGCCTTTACACATGTGCTTGAGGATGCCTCCACGTGATGTCTGTTCCGCTTACACATATTGCGAGTTGGGCCGATTCTTGTCCGTTGTATGTCGGTTTTAATCTGCCGTTTCTTTTCCCTTCGTTTTATCATTCCTAGGCTTTGTCGTCAGGACTTTGTTTGCCCTGTTGATCCACGATATTTTGTCTCGGATGGTACCCTGTCGACAAGGCACGAGACGCCGAAGCTCCATGCTCATGGGCTAGTACCAAAACGACAAATGATCAGAGCTATGATCAACCCAATTTCGTGATCATCACCTCACATTCTGGATTTGACTCACCTTGATAAAGCCCTGCCCAAATTCCATCGATCTGCTCTGGGGTCGCCACATTCCCGGGAAACCAGAACCCAGAATGAGAGCACGGTCCGCCCACAGGAATTGTTGGTTTCTTGCATAAACAGAGTGTTTCAGGGCCAAAATTCCACATTTAGTTTTTTTTGTGCCTAGTATAAGGTATTTACTACGGTGAAGCAGTCCGGTTGGATGCGGCCGATGAGTGTGTTCTAGATCTACTGATTCCCAATGCTTCCATCCATTATTTTAACCATTGTTGAATTTGACAAAGAAAATAAAACATAACTGGCATTTATTCAATCAAAGTATCCTGAATTAACCTTGGGGTTTGTTCTCATTGTTCTTCACGTCGATGGGCCCAGCTGCGTACATTCAGTGACTTTCATATGATAGCTATGTTGATATTATCGACACGAGATGAATGATAGAAATCCTAGAACTAAATGGGTACACCTGGCATAGCTGGCAATGTTTGAGTCTTGAAGTATAGTAACTGTTTAATTGATTACATGAGGAGGTTCAACTAAGCAAACACATACCTACTCTCTTTTGAGTCCAATCCTTGCTACACCAGCAACCGGGCCAAAGAATACGACCTTCTTACGCTTTGAAATTATAGACTACCTCAAATCTGTAAATGGCTACGAAATTAATCCAGCTCACCCTGTTGTGTTGAAAATCAGTTGTAGGCTAACAGCTCTAGGGTAGCTAAAAGGGTGGTGATGCCCCGCTCAGATTTCTCTCGGATGTGTGTTTCCATCCCCACCTTTCCCCTTCCCTCGCGCAGGCGATGCACCACGCGCTTGCTTCGGATTCGATATGGAGTTAATGGCTACGTCCGCCGAGGATCTGTCCCCTCCCGATGCCCCCGATAGGAACGATGTAGCGTCACCTTGCTGCGGGAACAGAGCTGTCCCCTCTCCTCCTTCGACGCATCACCAGTCTCGACGCCGAATCGAACAGACGTCCGAGTAAACAAACATGCCCGCCTCAGCTGTCTTTGCGCCCGGCGCGACCGCCCTCATCACCGGAGCCGCTGCTGGCATCGGCCTCGCAGTTGCTAAGCTCTGCCAATCTAAGGGGATGAACCTGTTCCTTGTCGATATCAATGCCGACGACCTCGAGGCGGCAAAGAAGGCGCTGTCCACCGAAACAAACAACGTTGTCACGGCCGTTGCAGATGTCTCCAGCACCTCGTATTGGCAGTCGCTTAAGGCCACTGCCGCTGACCATTTTGGGTCAATCGAGCTGCTGGTCTTGAATGCGGGCAAGGGAATGAAGGGAGGATGGGGCGAGGAGGACTACTTCCGCCAGGTAATACTCTAAACATCTCTTTCCTGCTTTGTGATTGCTTCTTCTGCTTTGTTGACAGTAGCTAACCTCACTTGTTGTATTACAGACACTCGAGACCAACCTCTTCGGCGTGATCCACGGCATCAACACCTTCCTTCCCGTCGTCAAGAAAGCCTCCGAGTCGAAGCCGACATCGATCGTCATCACCGGCAGCAAACAGGGCATCACAAATCCACCGGGAAACCCTGCCTACAATGCTTCCAAGGCGGCTGTCAAGTCGCTGGCTGAGCAACTGAGCTATGATCTACGGGAGTCGAGCACTAGCGTCCACCTACTGGTGCCTGGCTGGACATTCACCAACCTGGTAAGCCATTACCTCTACACCTCCATGTGCCATTGACAGCTAGAGGTGCTAATGTGCGAATGTGACACTATTAGGCCGGGGCCCTTCATTTCAAGGAGAAGCCCGCTGGAGCTTGGCTGCCAGAGCAAGTCGCCGACTACTTGTATCGCAAGATGGAGCAAGACAAGTTCTACGTCATCTGCCCCGACAACGACGTGACCGAAGAAACAGACAAGAAGCGCATGTTATGGTCGACCGGC